GTCCAGGCTCCGCAATCATCCTCAACGACTGATTTTTCGCCAACATTTTTTAATAAATTAAATTGATTATTATTTACAAAAACTTTATTATTTTTTACCCCAGTAGGTATTAAATTTAATACTTTTATAGGATGCAAGAATAAAGACATTAATTCATCAGTAGTTATTTACCAAAATTATTAAAACCTTCCCTTGCCATAGAACCTTCTTGAATAGTGGTAGCTTTAATGTCTAAAGCTATTTTAGACGGATAAAGTGCTATAGATGTCGAAGGCTGATTGGACGGAGAAAGGGGTATATATAAATTTTTAGCAATTTCTCCCACAATTTTTATATTTCTCCCACAATTTGAAAATTTTGACCTGGCAATTCTGAACCCTAAATCTTGAGGCTACCGTAATATTATTTTAGCTAAAATCTTAATCGACCCCTTTTTAAAAATCGACCCAAATCGAGCTTTTTAACAACACTACCTAGTAATATCCTATTCTCTAACTACTTTTATATAATTTGGTTTACTCGATCCAATTAATTTAATATATAGCCAACACAGTTATGGTTATCGTTAAATTACAAATCATTTTTTACTTGTTTTATTTATTTAATATAAATATTATAATAATACTAGTAGATAGCCCTTCAAAAATGACGGGGAATAAGAATTTTCTTTGTTCTTTTACGACATATGTTACCTTTTATTTAAATATTCAATTTTTATTCTTTTTACCCCCCTCCCCCCTTCAAGCCAATTCCAACCCATTAAGACCAAGAGTGATATTTTGTGAGTCAAAACATATTTAAATTAGCTTGTACTTGAGACCCATATTAATTCTTTGTTAAAATATTACTTATTACTTATGGCTAAAATTATATATCAAAATCTTTCCAAGCGTCCAATATATTTCTTATTACGGGTTGTCTAATTACAAGAGTTGAATTAAATATATCATTTCGCTGCATGATAAAAATTGTTTTAAAATAAAAATAAAGTAATGAGTCGAAAAATAAAAGGGATGTAGTTAATTTTATTATTTAAAAAAATTTTTTTTTTGAAAATTAATTTTTAATTTGTAGAGTAAAAAGAATTGTGAACATGGTCGTTGTAAAAAAAGGGTTGTTTGTAATTGAACACAAGGGAAAAAATTTAAAATTTGGGATGTTTGTGGAGAAAAATTACAAGAGATGTTAAAATTTACGAGCGTGGCAAGTTTTGGCAAAATAATTATAGGGTGGTCACGATGTTGTAAATAAAAAAATTAACGTTGTTTTTAAAAAATTTTTTAAGAGTTGTTCTTTTCTTGAAGTTTAAATTGTAATTTTTTTTTAAAACTAAAATAATTTAAATATTTTTTGAAAATTAATTTTTTTTTAAAATTAATTTAAATATGTTAGTCCACAAATTTATATATTTACCGGGGATGATCGTTAGGATAAGTGTGTATACGCAGAATACCGAAGAACGCTTAGCCGAATTCCCTCCGTCGGCGGTTCAATCAAACCCGATGAGAAGGGGACGAAATCAACCGGATGTTATCTTTGTCAATCAAGGGATCATTTACAAGACAGATGTCCACGAAGACCGAGGAGACAGTTGGAGCGGCAGCCAACAAGAGAATTCCCGACAGGACCTGTGATACAAGAGGTGGCAATATCAAGGATGACGCCCACGGTGACAGAAACGTTGGATCCAGCGGGAATAACAAGCAATGGACCAATTGAAGCGCCGGAGATCGTTGACTTAGAAATGACAGATATAGAACTAGATGCTTTTTTGAGGGGAGAGTAGTACCGGGTTGAGGGGGAATTCAATTATCGGCGGAGGACATATCGTAATTTATTAATTATCATTTGGAGATTACATGTTTTTCATTTTAAAATAATCGATTTTTTAATATAATTTATTAATTATCATTTGTAGATTACATGTTTTTCATTTTAAAAATAATCGATTTCAATATTATTATTTTTTAATTATTAATTATAGATCACGCGTTGTTTTTTTTTAAAATAATCGATTTTTTAATATTATTTTTTGATTAAAAAATATAATATTGTTTTATTATTATTATTGTTTTTTTTAAAATTGTTAAAAAAGAAAATTTTTTTTTTTTTCATATTATATTTCTTTGGATTTAAAATTTAAGGAAATTAAAAAGTAAAAAAAATATAGTCATCAAGAATTATTTCACTGAAAATACAAAGTGTAGAATAAAATTAAAGAAAAAATAAGATTTTTTTTGTCGAATAAGAAACTATTTAAAGTGTTGATTGATTAAAAAAAGGGGCGTTGAATAGCAGCTAAATTAAGTGTTGAACGGTTTTAAAGGTGAGAAATATCACAATTACATTTTAAAATTTAGATATTATTAAATCCGCAAGATGGCGCTTATTGTTTCAAAAAATAAATACAAATATATAAAATAATTTTAGAAAATAATAAAAAGTTAACAAACTAAATTTTGGATTAAAATAAAGAATAATATTTTTACTTTTAAAAATTTATTAAATACTACGGACCTATTGATACATAATATTGCTAAGCATCAGCCCAAATCTATATATTACATTACATACAACTACAATCATAGTCATAAAGGGTTAATGCTAAGGGATAGGTTCTAAATCGCTAAAAATTGGGAACCTGCCTTATATCTCCTAAAAAATTTAGTAAATTTGAAATTAATATTAATAGATACTAGGGGACTAAACACTTGTATTTAAATTGAAAATTAATCGCTAAACTTATGGGGGCGGAGGCGGGAAGGATTATTAAAGGGCGGTTGCTTCATTCTGTCATGTAATAAACACCGTGAATTGAGCTGGATGTATATAAAACATCTTTGCCTTTAAAAAAAAATCTTTCTTTTGTTAACTAATTTGAACAAATAATATTATACAAATGAAAATGTGAATTGCGATAATTTCTTTAACAAAAAATTTATGAAAATAAAGAGAAAAAAAAATATATATTTGTAGGTATAAATGAAATTGAAAATAATAATATTTTATATTAATGTCATAATCGAAAATTTATAGATGATTTCAAATTTTTAAAAACAAATATAAATAATGATTGAGTTACCGAGATATATCCTGTTTCTTAAAATTGCTCAGCAGAGTGGGCTTAGCCATAAATCGGGTCAAAGACTAAGCCTAAAAAACCACCCCGACCCGATAAAGAATTTATAATAATACAATTGCTAGTGTTTAGCAAGTATTATACATAGTAATGTGGAAATTACATGTAAGATTAATAGTGTTATTAAAAGGGCATTCAATACTTTATCCAGAAAAATATTACGCAAGTCTGAAAATTCTGCTGATAGAAGGAACAAAGGTTATAGACATATATTATCGAAGTCTCGAGGTATTAGGCAATATTTTTCTGTCTAAAATATTGAGTTTGCCGTTTTTAAAAATTGGCTCAAAACGAGTCGTGTAACAAAACGCGATTACATTATAATACATATATAAAGTTATTATTGATATAATGGAAATATGTGTATGAATATATGGTATTACATTATTTATATTATTATGAATTAGTATATTCATTAATTAGATCTGTTATAATGATTATATATGTATGTATAACAATCGGGGGCTATTGTTTAACTACCTAAGATTATTTAGAATGTAGAAACTTCTATCATATATTTTTTATATCCTGCCTCTTTACCGTACCTATTACATGGATGAATAAATTATGTGTTTGTAATTATTTTATTTATAATAATATGTAATGCAATTGAAAATATCCTTGGAGGTATTAAGAAATAAATGTTATATGTAATAAATAAGAAGACATTTCGATATTTAGCAAGATATTTTGTAATTTAAGATGACTACGATAAAATACTACCATATATATAGTTTGGCTTATGCTTAGCATTCTCTGTATATCTGTAATTAAGATATTAAATAAATCTGTAATAGCAATAAAATTGGCCCTATTTTACCGAAAAATATAATTGTTAATACAGTAAAAAAAATTTCCTTACCCTAACAACCGATTTCCCTTAAAAAAAAATTTGGAGGTAAAAGACGCTTGGACCTATAAAAAAACGTTTCAATATATTAAAAGTTTTTGATATCATAAGTATTCTAGGTATAAGCTGGCTCTACCGTAAGTTTTTAAACTAGAATGATAGGTCGGCCCAAGTAGGAGACGATTTTTTACGATTTAGGCTTGAAATTCAGAAGTTGTAAAATTTTGAGGGTAGAGAAAATTGATGATTCTAATAGAAGAAAGCTTATATTCAAACAAAAATCTATGAAGGTTGCTTTGAAATAATATTTTATTAAATGATTATTATTTCATATTATATTATTAGTATTTACTATTTAGTATATATATTCTATATTCTGAAACAAAAATCTATAAACAATTATAATCTATCATAAGCATCTTGTTATAATTCTTTTTTTTCACTAAAGCTAGCAATTTTTTTTACAAAATTTATTATTATTTTTATTAAAGTATAGTATATTATGAATATAATAATTTTTACATTTATTGCATTGCGATAATTATAAAGGTAATATGTAAATATATTGATCATTCACAAATGAGTCAAAAAAATATTCAGCTACAATCTATGGTAAATTGATAAATAAATGTAATTTAAAAAAATAAATATTATTATAAAGATAATAAGTCTATAATAAAAGTCTTTACTTATATATAAAATATCTAATAATTATGTTATATTGATTATGTAATAATACAGACTTGTAAATATGATTTAAAAAATTAAAACTTTTGAGAATTTGCCAATAATAAATATTTATATCATAATATATCATATTAAATAAAAGTGCATATCATTTGAATCGCTAATTTTTTTTTTCAATTGTTCATAAAATTGAAAATAAAGATAATTTTTTTGTTTTTTTACAACAAAAAAAATAAAATTAACATAATAAGTTTCAAATAAATTCTTATTTTATTTTACATTAAATAAATGTGAAAAGAGAAGGGTGAAAGAGTAAAAAAAAATTATGTTAAAAATATAATTCAATATACTTTGGTTTTTAGAGATTGGAGGATCATCGTATATAATAAAATAATTAAATATTCCCTAGTGGAATAAAAAATAATTTATTTTTTTTTCTAATTTCCATTTCAAATATTATATAAAAATTATTTTTAAAAATAATAAGCTTGAGAATGTAGTATTAATGGATTCGCGAGTTTATTAGAGATTGGTAAGGTTTACCCTGGATTCAATTTCACGTTGATTTCAAAAAATGATTGTGCGTGCGTGTCGGAATCATTTCATTTCCGTTTTTTAAGATATCTTTTTTAAAAACATATTTTTTTTTCCAAGACGAGAAAATTGGAATATCATGTGGTAAGTTGTTAAAAGTTCGAGCATTCGATAAAAAAAAAATCGCCATTGGTTGGTTGAAAAATATATGTTTCTAGTGGATTAACAAATTTGAAATTAATATTAATTTAAAAAAAAAACAAATGTTATAAAATTAAAAAAATTAAAATGATTGCTGCTAATTACAGACGACTTAACAAGTCTCATCTGTTTATTTTGCCCCCAAAAAAATTTTCTCCGAAAAAAATGCGAAAAGGAAAATAAAACGGCAACTTTAATCGCCATTTTTAATTTTTTACGTTTGACCTAGAATTAATTTCTTTAGGATCTTAAAAAAAAAATTTTTTCCAGCATTTCAAATGACACGGAAAAGTGTAAATGAAATGGACGCGTGTCAGTTCTCTATTTTCCCAAGTTGTTAATGACGTAATAATCGTGGAAATACATGAGGATGCATATAGGTTGACCGAGAATCAGGCTAAGCCATACCAAGATATTACCCCATTGGCCAGTCATGTATTTGGATACCAGGAATGCCAAAGGAACCTTTTTGCGATTAATTTTGAAATTTAGGTTATACAATTTAATTAAAGTCATGTTATTTTTCCAGGCTATCACAAAAATCTTCAGAATCAAAAAATCATCTTTTTTTAAAAGGACCAAATAAAATGAATATTTTTTTTGCGATTTTTAATGAAATATATTTAAAGAAAAAAAAGATTCATATGAAAAGCCCTAAATTCTGGGGGCATATCAAAATATCAATTGGTGCTAAATTCTGGTTCTTTTCATTATATTCTTTAACTAATTTTTAAATTAGGGAGAGAGAAAAAAATGTTTAGGATCATTTTCATTTTAAAGAGAGAAAACACACACACACACACACACACATGAGATTCGATTATGAAATATGATGAAAGGGTAAGGATTACATGTTTGATTAGGAAATTGTGTGAAAAGCAGTAACTTCCATAAAAAAAACAATATAATCAGATTCAGGCCTCGAGGTACTGGAATGGGCCCCAAATAGCCAATACCTTTTTGAAGAAGAAGAAATAAGGATTGTTAGTAAAATGCCACTGCCATTAATAGGCCTGGTGAGGCAAAGCCCATTCCATTAACTTGAGGCTAGAAATTACTGAAGAATAAATTATAATCTTTTTCAAAAAACCTGCATCAACATTCCAGAAAATGCCCAAAGTCTAAACATGTGAAGTGGAACACTGAGCAGATACTTTTTTTTTTGTAAAAATAAAAAAACTTTTATTTTTTATCTCTTTTTTTTATAGTTTCTTTCTTTCGTCCTTTCTTTCTTTCTTTCTCTTCTTTTAGAATTAACTTAGATAAACCAGCTCTTTCTTCAATTACGAAGCCATTAAATATTTTGCGATTCCTACTAATACTTATAAAATAATAAAGATATATATAAACCTCGTGAAAGAAGGCGGATACCATAAACACTATTACAGAAGCTACCATCTTATGAACGCCCAGGTCTAGGAGGGGAAAATATAAGTGTCTTTATTATTATACATGATTATAAAAATATATATTAGTATTATTAAATAAATAAACCCATTTAAATATTAAATAAGCGTTGATACTAATTTTTGTATCATGATACAAATTTATTTCGGGCAACGTAATTGTGGCCAATAAATTTTATATCATTTACCAATCATTTAATTAATGAGTAATCGATTCACATTCACCAAAGTCATAACTTTTTTAAAAATATTTTATATTATGTTCGTAAATTTTTTTTAAATCATGCATTGACAATATGGAATCACACTGGTTTTTAAGAGAGGCACTTATGTAAGGTTTTAAATTAACAAATAACAATAAAGAACTACCTTGTGACTCTTCTATTCTCTTCTCTCTTTCTTTCCCCCGAAAAAAATAAATAAATATCTTTTATCATAACCGCACCAAGAACTCTTCTTATAGCAAAGCGAAGGGGTATGCGGTGGTAAAAAAAAAGAAATAAAAATGTTTAATCCATAGTATTATTGATGGGGGAAATAATTAATACATTTTGCCCCCCCCCCCCCCAAAAAAAAAATTAATTAATAATTATATTACAAATATTTTTGTTTCACTTCAAATAATTTCTATTTTGGATGAGCCAATCATTAATTTTGGGGGTTGAATTGTTAGAATAAAGGTCAAGATTTCAAAAAAAAAACAAACAAACAAAATAATTATGTTAGAGTAGAGTGAACCGCGCTTTAAACTGGTTTTCAAATAAGATTTCACATTATCAGTATTGTTAACTTAAACCTTTAAAAAAAATATAATTCAGGTATTCCTCCCTTAAAAACCGGTGATATACCTGTTCGGGATGTATTCTTTAAAAATGAAGACACGTAATATAATATAATGAAATGACCAATTTTTACGGAAGGCTCGAAAGGTTTGTAAAAAATGATCACTTTTATCACGCGAGAACGGCGGCGGCGAAGAATACAAAAAATAAGAGCGGATTATATGTTGTTAAACGGCTCAATTTTAACTCAATATTGTAACCAATAAAATATTAGGCTAACCTGACGATTTTGCTCGTAAGATAGCGCAGAAGTCCAGACATCATCTGTCAGCTTAAATCTTAAGGCTTAGAGCAAATATCTTTTTTTTTCTAGCTGAAAATGTTGAGTTATCGGCTCAAAACGAGCCGGTTTAACAACACTACCGTGGATTAGTGTCGTTAAAAAGCCCGATTCGGGTCCTAACGACCCTGAATCAGATCATAACCAAATTAACATTATGCGAGCCCGGAGATTTTGCTCATCAGCTGGCAGGAATGCTCTTGGAAAGATCTATTTGCCAAGATGCATATATAATATTATTTTAGTCATAATCTTGATCGGACCCTTTAACGAACACTGCCGTGGATGCAGGGTTCAGGGGAGAGTTTTCTAAATTTATAAATTAAGAAGCAATCACACAATACCTAGAACACCATCTATGGACCGGTATATTCCAAGATTGCCAGAATTCATTTATAGTTACAGCGTTCCTTAAATAAAACAAAAAAAAAGAGTATGAATGGAAGAAGTGAGATGTTATGGAGGGAAATAAGGAATAAAAATGGAAGACATAATATATAATTTTTTTTCTCCGTTTTTACCACCAATCATTATAAAAATTCCTGTCGGCGAAGTACATGATCTCAGCTATGGCGTTGAAACAAGAATGGAAGAGCCAATAGAAAAATATGAGCCAAATCAAATGGTTAGGTATCTAGATAAATAAATATAAAAATATTAATATTATTTCTCGTGAAGTTAAATTGTTTTTTTTTCTTCTTATTTCTATTCCTTCTGCATCCACTCTTAAAACTACCTTTTCTCATTATTTTAAAAAGGGGGGTGAAAAAAATAAGAGTTTAACTTACAGCTAATTTGAGTAACCTTTCCGACATCCGCAGATAGTCCATAGAACTGAAAGGTGCCATGGCGTTATTAATGGTAGGAATAATCCATTGCTGAATCAAACCCAACATCAATTGAAACAAAAATATCTATTCATTGTTAATAAATAAAATATTAGAAAAATAAAATAAAATATTAGAAAAAATAAAATAAAATATTCGAAAAAATAAATAAAATGTTAGAAAAATAAAATAAAATATTAGAAAAATAAAATAAAATATTAAAAAAATAAAATATTAGAAAAATAAAATAAAATATTAGAAAAATAAAATAAATTAAAAAACCATTTCCATGACCCTTTTGAAGAGGAATAATTTCCTGATTCGCTGCGTTTTCGGGAAATTAAGTTCGTAACAAAACGTGGGCACCAAGAGGAAGTAATATAAATCTTTTTTTTTAAAAAAATATATATATATAAAAATGGTAAAATAAAATTTATTGCACCTTTTAGGGTTAGGTTATCGGGATACACGACAGGTTTGCGACCGTACAAAATTTTTAAATCTAAAAAAATAAATAAATAATTGTACAATTAAATTTATTACATGTTTTTCTTCCTACCCAATATTTAGCTAAAGCCCCGGGTTTGGCGAATCGGGTTAAACCGGGGACCAAATTAATATCGGGTTGGTTAATTGGCGGTTAGGTTAGATAGGACCGGCCCTCGCTACTCCTACCCACCCCATCTTCAGTCATATCCAAAATAAACTAGCCCTGTTTACCTTTATCGTCGTTATAGGCATAAATGGATTCCTCTACCCTAGATTCCCGTTTCACGTACACCATGTCTTTCTCTACGACAGCGTCCACATCTTCGTCATTATTATCACCGCCATTTTTATCGCCAAGTTTTTGTTTCTCGCGGATACTATCCGATTGGCTTTTGGCGCCAGATCCGATGGTAGAAGGCGAGCGGGAAGCGTCTCGACACCATTTGTTGACGGCGGTGTACGAGACTAACTTTAGGAAAATAACGGTATACATGCCCAATGTTAACACCGCGGCAACTTTATACAAAAAAAATAAAAATTAAAAGTATGTAACATAAAAAATGAAGGAAATATTTTAAAGAATGCAAAGAAAAATTTGAGAACGAGAAAATGAAATTATTTAAAAGTATAACAAAATAATATTAAATAGAAACTGGGATTTGGTTTGACTAGTAGAAGCACTATAGCCGGAAAAGTCAATAAGTTAATGCAGATGAATGCCTGCAAAGTAAGGCCCAAAGTTTGGTTGAGACGATGCTAAAATGATTGTTATATTTTAAAAAATAAAGAGCAATAATTTGTCGTTCATTCATTTCAAAATTAAAACTTATCGATTCCTTTATATTGTTTTTAAAAAAAAAAAAATGGTTGAAATCAACTGTCCAAATTTTTTTTATATTGGACAGCTGATCAAAAAGTGACATTTTAAAAATAATAATATATGTTCCTTACTTTGCTCATCATTTTTTCTATGGCGAAGCTTGATACGGCGTAAACATTAGAAACTGGTAGTGTTATGTAATTTTTTAATTATTTAAAAAAAATTAATAAATAATAATAATGGATTTTAAACCTATATTATAAATGTAACTACAATTCTTGGATGTCAGTGTTGTTAAAGGACACGACTCAGTATTTTATCCAGAAATGTGTATTACATAAACCTCTGAAGATTTTTTTCCCCATAGATTGGGCACGAAGGTTTTTGGGAGACAACATCTAGTTAGCAAAATTTTCTAGAAAGACTCGGCCAATATTTTTTGCGGCTAGAATCTTGAGTTTGCCGGTTTATAAAAAAAACCGGCTCATATCGAGCCATCGCTTTACTCGGATAGCGGGTAGCTCGTTATAATAAACGGTCAAAACAATGTAGTTTTCCTCCCGACAATGGCGGACATAACCGCGGTTTTGTCCGGAGCGAAAAAAAAATTAGTTGGTGTAATGTTGGTAAAAAAATTTTTATTTTTTACTCCCAGTACATGGAAGTGAAATAACATAGAATTCTATTCCCTAATGAAATAATTAATTATATTAATCGTTCAATTTAGTGAGGTGATACAAAAAAAAAACCGTCATGTAATATTTTCCAATAATTCCTTTTTTTTTGGCTTACTTTTTTTAAAATGTAAGATTTTAGCTAAGAAATTTCGCTAAATAGATGTTCCAAGCCGCCTTTGTGCAATCTATGAACAAAAAGCTTCAAGCTTACCTTATCTTCTATCGGATAAAATATCGAGTGAGCCGGTTTTAAAAACCGGCTCAAATCGAGTCGCTTAACAACACTTCATTTATGAACAAAATTTCCGGGTTTGCACTTAAAAATTTTTTTTTTTTTGGTTAAGGTTATTGGATTGGGGTTAGCCGTTTAACAACATTAGTTAGAATTATATGATTAGCAGTTTATCATGTCAAAAAAAATTGAAAATCAATGATTATTACTAGTGAAATTTAGTTATTTTTTTTTTCATAATAAAAAAAAAGAGTATTTAATTATATAATAAATCATATAAGTTTTTTTTATCTTTTGTTCTTTATATTAAGTATTTTGGTCAAATTTACCAAGATAGAATTTTATTAAAAAATATTGATTTAAATCAAATTGATTTTTATTGGCCAAAACCCTATTAAGTAATACATATAGGTATATCCATGACGAAGTAGTATCTATTAATCAGTAAAATCTTTTCTTACTTTCTTTCTTTCTTTCTTTCTTCTATCTTCCTTCTTTTTACAAAATAAATTTTTTTTATGAATCATACACAGCAACAAGCAAGTGCAAGGCCAATGGTAAGGATCCTTGAGGAAGAAAGTTAGCCAAGCTATCGGATCCACTAGAATCCCGTATTTTATGACGTTTTCTAAGGCTAACCTGGAATGAGATATCACCTGATTTTTTTAAGATATAATTTTTTTTTTTTTGTAAAGTAAAGATGGAGGTCGATTTTAATAATAAGATATACGTTGAAAAACTTAGAGGTCTGAAAAACCCAATGATAATATAATAATACCTAGGTATGACGATGAATTCATAATAGTGCATAGTCGTTGAATGCAAATCAGCTGGACCCGCCATTTTTGGTAACCCATATAGCAATTATTCTCATGTTAAAAAAACTACGCTTCCTTATCACCTGATGATCAGGCCATTCTTTAATAAAGTTCGCGTCAGACGTAGGAATAAATTGGCCTTCTCGTTTAAAAAATTTTTAATGATGGCATGGGTAACCAAAATGGATGGCGTACCCAGCTGTTTTTCATTGACGCGTGGTACACTTTTGACTAACAAATTATCTTTGTTCGAATGTTATCGTCACAATTCGAATAATAATAACTTGAATATTATAAGACCGAATTATTGTTGTTAAGAAGTCCGAAACGGGTCGAGTTAGAAACGGGTCGATTAAGATTAAAACTAAAATAACATTATGTAAGACTAAAGATTTTGCTCATAACTGCTGCCAGAAATGCTTGGGGGTCTATTTGTCCAATCCGATGATTACGTATATTTTAGCTAAAATGGACCCCAAATCGAACTTTTACCGACACTAGACCGATTTATCGTGATATAGCATCGTGTTTTTTTTTAAAGTTTATATATATATATAAAAAAGGATCTTCTTATAGCATTTTATTTTAATTTATAGATTTTTCATAAAAAAAATTTGACTATTGTATACAAACATGGCAAAAAATTGTCCGAAATTTATAAAGTAGTTGTTATTCTACATCAGCTGGAATACCTTTTTTTCGGTCAAATCAGACTTTTTTTTTTAGTTTTTAAATATCCCTTCGATAAATGATATAAAATTGAGAGATGGAAGCGCCATAGATTCCAGATGCAAATACGACCGAATATAGCAATTATAAGGTAATTAAGTATAGGATTGAATTACACTAATCGCTATTCTACGCGCAAGGTAATATAGCAATGACGTATAATTATAACTTAGACTGACGACGCGTTCATGATAACGCGTTCGAAAGCTTCGTTGAATGCAAATCAGCCGGACCCGCCATTTTTGTAACCCATATTAGTAACTATTCTCATGTACAAAAACTAGTATTAAATTGATAACTTGCTATCGTTATTATCTCGATGATCGGGAAATTCTTTGATAAAGTTTGCCTCGAGGACATAGGAATAAATTGGCCTCTCGTTTAAAAATTTTTAAATAATGATATGGGTAACCAAAATGGCGTCCCCAGCTGTTTTCCATTGATATGTATACACTTTCAATGAAATGCATCGTCAGTCTAAGTAATTATATGTCATTGGAAAAAAACCTGAATCAACCGGAAATGGTTATTTATTTTTTATTTTATTTAAAGGGAATGGGTCACGTTGGAGAAATATATATATTTTTTTTACGATAATCAGTGATACGAGAATTATTCTAAGGATTCTATTCTTCAGGGAAAATACTAACAAATTCTTACGGAAAATAATAATCCAAAATATTTTATTGCAAAATTTTTAATCTACCAATCATACTATACTCTGTTGGAAATTATGAAATTACCACAAATCATTATTATATCTATCTCGCTTTTTTATTTTATTTTTTAAAAAATGTTTTCTTTTTTTTAACACGTTAAAAAAATTTTTTTGTTATCCGCTAAGTAGTTGTTGTTAAACGGCTCTATGTCAGCTGATTTTTAAGAAAACGGCTGATTTATTTTATCCAGAAAAAAAACTTTAACGCTGGCCCGAAAAATTTTTGACCCGTAGGTGGGCAGTAGTGTTGCTAAACGGCACTCAATATTTTAGCCAGAAAAATATTGCCTAACCTTGAATTCATAGTGACGCGATCGCGATCGCGATCTAACAGCTGATTGATTTTTTTTTAAAATCTGTTTATGAGATCGATTATTCTTTATTTAAAATCATCATTATTTCTTAGATTATTATTAAAATTTTGAATTAAAGATTAAAATTAATATTAAATTAAAAGAAAGTATTTTAGATTTAAGAAACTATTTAAATTAATACTTTTTAAAATCAAAATTATTTATTATTTCTTATCTCTTTTTAGTATCTATATATATAAAGTTTTTAACATATTAAACAATCAACGTTAATATATTTTAAAAATAAACAATATTCAAATAAAACTAAAATTAACTATTCAAATTTAAATTTATTTAAATATATAATCAATCAACATAAATAAATAAAAAATTGATCTCATAAACAGATTTAAAAAAAAATCAATCAGCTGTTAAATCGCGATCGCGATCGCGCCACTACGAATTCAAGGTGAAGCCTTAAACCTTTGTTCCTTCTACGAACAAAATCTTCAGGCTTGCGTAATACTATTCTGGATGAAATATCGAATTAGCGCGTTTTTTTAAAAATCAGCTGACATCGAACCGTTTAACAACACTGGTGGGCAGGAAGGTTTACGTCATCAATTAGCGGAATCTCGAAGAATTTTACGGCGATATTTTTTTCTAGCTTTAAATATCGAGTAAGCCGTTTATTTTTTAACCTAGAATAAACATATGTTTCTTCGCTCCGGTTCAAATATTAATTAGAACACCCCGTCAATTTTTGCCGAAACGCCCCTATAAATCGATATAGATACACAAAAAAGTTATTTTTTTTTTATTATGTTCTTATAGTATCTCTCATTTTTGATCTTGAGACAAACCAGTAAATACCCTAACGAATGAAAGTAGAATTACGATCAGAAAATTAAAAAAATTTATACCTTAGACTAACGGTTCCTTTTTGGGAACCCGAAAATTTTACTCGTGAAAAAAAATTTATTATAAATTAATACCTTACGCTTATAAATTTAAACTTGTAAATATTGTTTTAGTAAATACTATTCATTGAATCACGTTTTTCCATTATAAATTACATGTTTCTTAATCTCGCTTGGAAAAAAAAATTTAAAAAAAGGGCCTAATATTTCTCGATATTTTTATATACGAGATAACTGGTATAGGTATAATTATTCGTTAGATTTATCGTGGTGATTGCTAAGTTTATCAAATTTTATACTACAACAAGAACACAAAGAAATGAAATAAAATATTATATGGTTTATAAATTTAAAAAATTTATTTCTATTTTAAGGAGAAAAAAAAATATGTAAAAGATTTATATCTATGGATATGAATATGATGATAGTTAAAAGAGAAATATTCTTAAAAAGCTAGAAAAGCTTTAAAGAATTCGAGGCTAAAAAAAAGGGAAATTTTTTTTTATCTACTATCTGCTTAATAGTGAGCATAATATAAGCGTTTCAATTCAAATTGTGCGTCGCAAACGCAAATAAATGCGTTTCAAAGCGTTTATTTTAGCGTTAGCAACTATATATAAAAAAAAACGCAAAAAGGTTTGCTTTTTTTCCCATTCTACATTTTTGTAAATATAATTTACTAGTTAATATTAAAATGGAATATTTAAAAAATTAACGCTAAACGCAAAAGGCTCAATTTGTGAGCGCTATAACATCTTAATTCCAATATTAACATTAGTTAATGATGTTTTTTTAAAATTATCTTCTTGATTCATTTTTTGAATGCACCACTCAGAGAGAAGTATATAGTTGGACGAATGCCAATGACATACAATAATAATACCTAGACTGACGGATGCATTCATTAGAAGTGAACTTCAATAAAAAAATAATTTTAAGAGAGGCCAATTTATTCCTATATCTGACGACTGATCGTTGAGAGATAATAAGGAAAGCGAGTTATCGATTTAATAGTAGTTTTTAACACGAAAATAATTAATAAACGGGTTATACCAAAATTCAACGACGCTCATCAAATGTATAATAAATGAATGCATCGTCAGTCCTAGGTATCAATATTTTACGTCATTGGATTTATGCATAATTTAATAAGATTCGTATATTTTAGACTAACATACTGAAATATCGGGTAAAAAAAAATGCAAATTTATTTTTCGGGACGAAATAAAATTAGCCTTCCGCCAATAACTAGTAAATGTTAAGGGAAGGCCAAAGAAGTGATTGATCGAGGGACTACTCTTCCTTTTGGTTTATTTTAAGTAGGGCTGATGTCGATTTTAAATATCGGATCGAATCGGCACCGATATAACGTTTTCCAAAAACATCGAATCGGGCCGATACCCGTAAAAACCGATCCAATCCGATCCGATCTTTTTACTTTTCCCTTTTTTTTCGTTATTCTATTTTATGTATATTATAATTACATAATTCATACCAACATAAAATGGATTTATTAATTAAATATATATATACTATATATCTATTATAAATATAATTATTTTTCTAATTATAGTCTTAATTGCAGAAATAAAAAAATAATTAAATTAGATGCGTGACTCGATTTTTTGCACAAAAAAATCTTGATTTATTAATTACATTTATTTCGAACGGGGAGGGATGGGTGGTGACAAATCAGTATAAATATCAGATCGGGTTTGGGATCGGGTTTGTACCAATATCGCAAAATATCGGATCGAATCGGTGAAAAATATGTAGTATTGTTCATTATTTGTTATGTTATTTTCGTTTTTTTTTAAAAAAAAAAATAGTTTTTTCTTTTGCATATTTTTAGCTGATTAGCCCATATTTTAAACGACGGCTAAATAGTCAGCTATCAATTATTAAGCCGATCTAGGAGGCGGTCCTAAATTTTTTTCCTAAGCCCTTCCCCCCCCCCCCTACAGTTTTTTTTTTTCTTTTAAGACTAAAGCCGTGTGTTAGGTCGGCTTAATTTGGATATACTTAATTGCTTTTTTTTTAGTATAAGCTAAAATGCGATTGATCTACTAACATTCCCTATTCTGATTTATTTTAAGTATTTGTGGTAGCATCAATGACATATAATAATACCTAGACTGACGATTCATTCATTAAAAGTGTACATCAATACAAATCAGCTAGAGACGCCATCTTGGTTACTGTAATAAATATTAAAATTTTAAACGAGAGCCTAATTTTATATTATATTTGATGCAAACTTTATTAAAGAATTGCCAGTTCATCGAGATAATAAGAAAGTAAGTTATCAATTTAATATTAGTTTTTAACATGAAAATAATTATTATAAAGGTTACCAAAATGGCGGGTCCAGCTGATTTGCTTTTAACGACGCTTAAAAATGCATTTTAATGAATGAATCGTCAGTCTAGGTATTATTATATGTCATTGGGTAGCATTGTTTATATTATTTTATTACTTGTTTTTTTTGTTTATTTCGTTTTTTCTTTTCTTTTGCTTTTTTTGGGCCTATTTAGTCGATATCTTAAAAGACGGCATAAATAGCCGGCTATTAAGTATTAAGTCGACCTAGGAACATGACCCGAGAATTTTTTTTCAGATTTTCGCTACCCTGCTCTGGGTAGTAAAGGGAGAGAGGAAGAAAAAAAAGGAAAAATCTTTTACTTCCGGAACTCTTAAAACTGTCATTCATTTTCTATTCTTAATCTTCCTTCTTTCCCCCATTTTATTTTTAGAAAATGATTTTTTTAATAACTGACTAAAAATATTTTTTTTAGAATAAGTTAGAAAAAAAAGATAATATTTATTTTATTATTTAAAAAAAATATATATATATAAATTTAAAATCGATAATTGAATTCATAATTTTCGTTACATTTCACGATTATTATTAATAAATTAAGTATATATAACAGATAGAAACTCTTGCTTGAATATTATAAAGTTCCATTTCCAATTTTTGAGGGGTAAATATTATTTATTGTTTTTAAAATTAATATATTCAGAACCAGAAATTGAAAACCCTCAAGTATATTGACTTCCAAAATTCTGTTTCAGGATCTAGTTAAAAGTCTCAAGAGATCAATCCTAACAGGTTCAGGTGATTTTTAGATAAATCAATCCTTCAGAGCTATAAAAATTGTTAAAAAATAATTTAGAATATAATCTTATGATGTGATAACCTATCTAAAAACAAAAAATTTTTTTTTAAAAATGCTTCCCTAAAAAATTATTAAAAAAATGGATATGGAACATTATAATATTCAATATACTTAGGGGAAGGAAGGTGAAGGGGGGGGGGTCCTGTAAAAAAAACCTAGTGAATGGTAATCGAATCAATATAGAAAAATTTGATAGATCAGTTTGCACAAAAAAAGTCTCCGCTTTTCTTTGGGCTAAGACCCGAGATAGCATTCAAACTTTGATTAACCTAACACATGGTAGAAGCGGATGTTGGAAAATGTATACCTTAAAGGGTTCAATGTTCAGGTTTTAAATATTTCAGTTTGTTTCTGATTTCTAAAACTGATTCTGGTTCATTCAAGGTTAGGTCAACGACGTATAATACTAACTAGACTAACGATACAGACACATGCCATCATGGCTTCCCGTATGAAATGCGTGATACGTGATTCGGAAAGCTTTGCCCACAATGGTTGAAGGTTCAACAGAGCTGCGCTTAGTATTCCTCATTTCCATCTGGCCGGAATTAAGTTATGCTGGGTGCCCTCTACACTCGTGTAGGTTAAACCGCATGACGAGCATCTGTCAGGAGAACTGTCATAAAAATGTCTATAGTCTGAGGTAAAAAAAAGAGTTGGAACAACAAAGAGAAAGCCTATTTAATTTTACTTTACGGAGAAGGGTAAGGGCTGATTTTAATTTTTTTAAAATGTCTAAGGTTAAATAAGTAAATTCTGTTAGTGTTGATGTTTGGTATGAAGAAGAGAAAAAAAAATGAAAGACTTGTTGTCACATTGGCCATCTAAATCATGATTAATCAAATAATTAATAAATTTTTTTATTCCCATCGCAATTTCATCTTCTAGTTCACGTAAAGTTAATCTTGTTTGTTTTATAGAATCTCCTATTTCAATTTTTTTTTCCCACCGGAAAACACGAACCTCCCATTTTACACGTTTAAAACTAAAAAAAAATAATTCAAAATGATGGGGCATGAATGAATTTGAAGCTTCAGTCTAAAGTATTATACGTGATTGATTGTGGAGACTGAACTTAGAAGTATAAGTCAAGATATTTCTTTAAGGCGAAAGAACTTGGATAAGTTTGTAATAGGAATTTGATGGCCAAAAATTAAGGTAATCTAACAAATAGTGTTGTTAAACGGCTCGTTTTGAGCCGATTTTTAAAAACATCCTGAACTGAAGATTTTGCTTGTAGAAGGAGCCAAGGTCAGGAGATCTATTAGCGAAATCTCAAGGCTTAGGCTATATTTTTCAGGCTAAAATATTGAGTTAGCCATTCTTAGAAATTGGCTCAAAACGAGCAGAACAAAACAACTTCTACACAGAGGACAATCACGAATCAAGAAAAAAAAACATTAAAAAAAACATGTGTTATTTATATAAAATAATATATATAAAGGTGTTACTAAGAGAATCATGGCCAGATTGAACAATCCCCTATAGTTCCCGAAGCCGCTCGAACTAGTGAATAACGACTCCTTGGCATGGTGAATCCTATTACAACAACAAAACAAAAAAAAAGAAATTCAAAAAAATTGTTATATTATCGTCGGCTAAAAAAAATTGGTGCGTTATTTTTAACGGTCTCCGCTTTTCGGAGAAAACGTGCATGGAAATGCCTATTCTCTTTACTTAAACCAATGCCGTAACTGTGATGAGGGGAGATATGTTGCACTATCAGTCGATACCAGATGTTGACCGATGTATCTCTGCATTAGTAATATGTATATATATTATATATATATATATATACTATATTTGTGCACCCCCTCCCCAAAAACAATTTTACTTTATACCATTTTTATATCATTTATCCATTAAATTAACCGATAATAAATAAAATATGGGAAAATATTTTTTTATTTCTCTTTGATTCCATTCTGAATGTATTTTTGTTTTTGAATTGAGATCAAATTATAAGGAACTTAACTGGTTTTTTGGGGATTATAGTTAAATTTAAAAAAAAAAAAAATTGTGGTACCATATGATCTGGCCACCAATACCAATATGGTATCAATATTGTCAAAAAAAATGTAACAAATGTGCATCTCTGAAAAGATAAAAATTGGATGAATGTTTATAGATTAAATAATATATTAGTTTGCCATTAATAAAGTTCAACATAGTGTTGGTTTAATGTCTTGATTTAGCGATTAAGCCAATTTTTAAATTTGGGAAAAATCAAAATTTTAACCAAAGCTTCTAAATTTTGCTAAGTTATGTTCACACATTTCTGTCATCCAGGCGCGTAAGCAGGAATTTGGTCTGGGGGGGGGGATAATAAATTTTTTTAAGAAATATTATTGTTTTTTAAAAATATCAAGCATAAATTTATTAGGACTAATAACTAATCCTTATACACAATTTTAAATTAATGTGAATTATAAAAAAATTATATGTAAAGAATCACTTAAATGACCTAAAATAGAAATTTGAATTTTTTGAGTCTTTACACAAAAAGTTTCTTAGGAATAATTGTATTTTGTATGTTATATATTTACAATGTAAAATCCAATCTTCGTTGGGATTGAACTAATTTTTCAATTATCTCATCATTGCTTGTCGTCAAATGCCTATGAAAATTCAAAAGATCCAAACCTTTCAATCTACTTTCACATGTTGTACTTCTTGGTATGTTTTTCAGAGACCTGCAAGCTCGGCCCCTGGGCCGGACAGTATTTTAATATTTTTAAATATACCCGGGCCGGGCCCGAAATATTTTCAAAAAAACACCCGGGCGGGAACTGATTATTTTTAAAAAAACACCCAGGCCGGGCTGTATTTTTTAAAATAGCCTATATTTGAAATCGTTATTATTAGCTATAAAAATCAAAAATAAATATAATTTATTTTAAAAAAATCCGGGCCGGGCCTGAAAATTTTATTTAAAAAAAAGCCGGGCCGAGCCTGAAAATTAAAAAAAAAGCCGGACCGTAAAAAATCTTTAAAATAAATACGGGCCGTGCCCTGAAAATGGTACTTCTGCAGGCCTCTGTTATTCTTCTTAAAAAAGAGAGTGTTCTCTCATTAGTTTACTAATGGGAAGAGTTTATAAACCCTTTTAATACATTGGGAATTTAATCTAAAAGGTGTTTGAAATAATGCAGAGCTTCCATAGCATTTTTTGGGACTATATCAACTATAGTTAATCTTATAAACATAGTTATTCAGCTAGTAAGGCATCATAAGATACTTTAACATCTTCATGATAAAAATCTAACAAATATTTTTTTTTCTATCACCATCTGAAAAAGGTTGGGAAGGCTTTTGTGGAAGTAATATTTGCAGATTAGTAAGTGCTGCATGATGAATTAAAAATTCATTTATTTGGGTTATAAATGTATCTGTATTTAAGATATACTCTTCTACTGATCCTATATTAATGTTTTAACGATGAGCTTGCCTTGCTACAAGTCGAGGGAGACAAATATTAAACACGTATAGCTCTGCTTTAGACTCAACAATAAAATATAAAATATGAAATTCTTCATCAACATTAGCCCTAATTTCCTTGAGTTCTGATAAAATGCTCTCTGCTATTCTCAATCTTCTTAATCAAATACAACTGTTCATGTTTTTGAACCCAGAGTAATATCTTATAAATAGTTGTATAATTCAATAATACATTCTAATGAGAAATAAAAGTTGAAATAAGCTTTGAATCCAATAATTTTCTTGCTTCTGAGGAAATATTTCTTTCAGGCCATTTATTTCAGTAATAATAGGTTCTTCTAGCTCTTAATAGCTTTTAGTGCTTGATGGAAGAGGCTCTATCTCGTTGGACAAGGTTGCAATTTTTTTTTCCCTGTTGGACTAGAAATTTCAGAAATAATAATTATTTGACTAGAAATTTGAAAATGGTAGATAAATATTAAGCCACTAAAAATTTGAAAATAATAAGTAAATATTACGCCGAAAAACTTGAAATCGAAATTAATTGATAAAATAACTTATGAATGTGATAATAAATGTAATAAAATTTATATTTAATATGAGATACGAATAAATACTAACAAATATAAATTAATATATACAATAATATTTTTGAAAAATATATCCGGCATCTGCATTTTTTGGCTTTGGGGGGGGAGGATTTGTCCCCCTGTCCCCCCCCCACTGCGTACGCGCCTGCTGACATCCAGCCAAATTTCCAGGTTTGCCTAATAAATATCTATGCCAAAATACTTAAATGAGCTTTTTGAAAATTGTCCAAATTGAAACAACATTCGCTTCAATGTTTTTTTTGTCATATCCTGTTTTGATTTTTTTTGGCAATTTAAGATAAAATAAGAATCCTATTGTGAAGTTTTTAATTATTTTATAAGTTTAAAAAGGGAATTAGTAAATACAATTAAATGCAAAATTTTGTATTTGAAATTGGGAATTGAGTAATTATGCCTTTAACCACTTTAGCACAATTATGGGGTATAAAAGGATACAGGTTATGCATGCTCTGTGTAATGTACGAAAGATATTTATTTGGGCTGGCAATTAAAATTAAGAGGTCAGATTGGGTAAATAAATAATTAGGCTAGATTATTGGCAAATTCTAATATTTGATAAATGTGATAATCAATAAAGTGTAATGTTTTTTAATTTATCACCTCCTCAATATTATAAATAATTGTTTATTTTGGTGTTCAAATAATATATCCTTTATATAAAAAAAGGGCTAGGCTAGGCTATAAAAAATTGAAAATAGGCAAGGCTAAGCAAACTTAATTCCAATCATACTAGGATAAAAAAAAATTATATTAACAGATCTCTAATAATTGTCTTTAACAAAGACAGTTACTTTTTAAAATTTATATTTGTATCATTTGCTTAATAAAAAACTTTAAGGTTTTTTTATAAAATTTTAGTAATCATCAAAATATGGCCACTTGTTATGTTTAAAATTTAATAAAAATATTAAAATATGAAGCTTATAAAATCTAGATTTAGAGTTAATTTACAGTAGCTTAGTTTAACTTCTATCAGAAATGTATGGAACCATCTTTTATTGCCAATATCAAAAATATCAATGATGTATTTTAAAAAATCATAAATATAATTCATCATCAATATTATTTAATTAATGAGATTCATAAAAAATGAATAGAAAAATCATCCCTTATTCTTGTTAGTTCAAAAGTTCCTAATCTCTTGCCTAAATTTTGGGAATTCAGATATATTGATTTATTAAAATTTTTTTTGATTTAAAAATCTTCATTATAATAAAATAAAACTAACTTTTTTTCTTTTCTATTATGCTTTTTTATTTTGGAAATATTGGTAGTGGGTTCTAGCATCTTTATGATCACCTTTAAGACTATCCAAGCTATTCATAAAATATGATTTCACTTTGAATTATTTGAAAAAAAATTGATTAACAGCCAGCCCATATGATTTTTGGATAGATAATTTTGCAACCAGCTGGTGGGACTGGGAGGTCGGGGGAATCGGATGGTAAAATTTAAATTAACTGTCGATCGATACATATTAATATTAACTTATGTATCAGTTAATTTCAGATATATATAAATTTGATATTATATTTAATGGCTGCAAATTAAATTTATTATGTCATTGGGATATTTACATAAATTATTTCATTTAAAAAAATTATTTATCCAATTTTAACTATGCTTTTATATTTAAAATTTATATTCAAATTATCTTTACTTTTTATTCAAAACTCATATATGTTTAAGATAACCTTAATTTCTTGCTCTTATTGCCTTTATTAGACTAGTGTACTTTCAAAACCCCCTATCAGGTCCTAAACATCAAAAATTGACTTTTATTAACATATCTTGGTATAGAGGACACGCGCTGATGATGTCGCGCCCGAATCCAATAGACAGAAGGATTGGGACAGGCCAGTTGTAGCATGTTGCATTGAAGCCCAATAATCTAGCATGTTCCTAACAAACCTTTCATCCTCACTTAATGGATTCTGGCCTGAATTTTTGCAAGTCATTCCTTCCAAAAATCTTCTAATCCAACTAAACAAATTAATGGAATAGATATACGCTTAAAATGTACAATGACCTTCCCTCACTTCTTATCTGGCTTCAAAATCTCCATAGAGAGCAAATGAAAACACAGCTCACATTGTTGATCCTGCAAAGGACGAATCCTCGGTCACACAATTCCTTGATCCAGCGAGTATCGAAATCCGCCTAAATTCCCGCAATACTTGAACTACCAGGAGTTTTAAGATCCGAATAGTGGTCTAACGAAATTTTGATCCCATGGAAACGGGCCCAATTTTTTATTTGAGGACTATTCTTGTATAGAATTACCTTTATCTAACCAAACTCCAATTAAATCGAGCAAAAAGAATAGCATACAATTTAAAAAATATTCTGAAATATCAAAAGATCACATCTTTACAGTAATATCCACACCTCCTTTGATAAGCATGCATCTGCCTAGGATCTAACATATGTAAGCATACTGGCGATCCTCGAGAGGGTTTTTACCGAAGATAAAGACTGACTATAGCTATCCGTAAAGCGAATTATCAAAGTGTCCAGTCTTCTCTCTACAGATCTTCGCTAAACTCACTTTTTTTCCGTATTATTATTTTACACTGTATTTCAACTTATTTCACCTTTATATTATTTAATTTGGAATTTGTTTTAATTTTGTGTTGACTTATAATATGAATAATAAAAATAACTTAACCATAAACTTACGCTATCATTTTCCATTTAAATTCAATCATACATTTAAAAAAGCATCTTGTTTTTGTTTATTTTTTTATCCATACATTTCGATTTCTAGTAAATTACCACGAGGGTGCAAAAATATTTATTTACATAATTTACAATTATTATTATATATTGCAAAGGTTATAATATATACGATAACCAATACATCGTTTCTTTTAACTTAACTAACCGTCATTAAATGATAATAAAAACTCGGATTTAAATTATATTTCAATAATGGTGTAAAATAAAAGATGGATATAGGAAAGTTTTTCCCCCTAATTATTTTTTATATGAGAGGATTTTTGAATGTATTTATTAGTGCTAAACAGCTGATAAATTGTTTTTCCAAGTCATTCCAATAGGCGTCCTGAATCTGCGAAATATCCGAAAATTCCTTCATTAATTGCGAGTGCCGGGTGATGGTGTCAAAATGATACTATATATATAAAATATATATAAAAAAATGGAATTGTAATAAAAGACAATATTGTTCACATATATAGATAGGAGGGAAAATCAGTGGAAATGATAAAAGCAAATTTTGAAAAGATTATGGGCCAATTCTAAACCTCACTAGATTAGATACCGGCCAGTTAGATTCAGGGTCGTGAACCCGACTAAGATGACAGGAATTTTGAACCTTATTTAGCAGTAATTTAATCGAAACTGACCCCGCCACGGTTCCATATTATTTCTGCCTAATTGACTATAAATCGGTCTCCGTTTGCTTTGTGCTCTTAAAATTTACAGCCAAAAATTTTTATATTTCTTGCTCAATCCTGCCCGAGAACCGGCATTAATTAATTTATATTTGATTAAGAGATCGCAGTCCTAAATTAGTCTTATTTCACTAAAGGAAAATTTCATATCTAATTGGGGTTTAACATTTGCTGAATATTTTTTTATATTTTCAAAGATTTTTTGCTTTTAGGAGAAAAAAAACTTAAAATGTTCATTTGAAGATTTTCGTTAAACCCTGGATCTAATATCAAATCCCTTTTGAAAAAAATTGTCACAACCTTAGCCTAGAAGAAATTAATATATAATATTAGAAATACAGATGAAATGATAAGTTTCTTTTTTAACGTTTCTAATTTAAATGTGATTTTAATAATTAAGATAACAACTAAGACCGCATTCATAGTGACATCCGGTCCGATAACAGCTGACCGATTTATAAAATCTGTTTTATGAGATCAATTTTTCTTTATTAAAATCACTATTTCTTAGATCATGAATAGAAATGATAAAATTAATATTAATAAAGAAAAATCGATCTTATAAACAAATTTTAAAATTCGATCAGCTGTTAAATAGTGTGGGATCGGATCCCGTTAAGAATGCGGCTTAAAGCCTCGTTTATAGTAAACGCGATTTGTTCATGCGGTGCGGTGTTTATCGCTATCGAAATCACGTCCGATTCTTCACAGCTATAAATAATTTTTGATATATACGTTATGCAAAATTGGATTTTCAAATAGCCTCCATATTTATTGGCTAGATTTTGTAAATAACGCAGACGACAAATACGGCACCGTTAGAACAATTCGCGTTTAATATAAATTAGGCGTAACTCTTGGTCGCCTTACACCTTACCTTATTTTTCTTTATGAAACAATATACAATTATATATACATATTGTTAGTAAATTGGTTCAATATGGCAATACGCTTGTTACCTTAAATAAATACGGCTTAATATCCTATAAAAATTTATCTGAAAATTTATTAGGATATGTATTCTACACTAGAGGTCTGCATGGGGGGGGGGGTTTAGGCCCGCCCGCCCATCTAAGTGGGAGGGCGGTTTGGCGGGTAAAAAAATTTTCGAGAATGGGCAGGCGGGCGTGTTAAAAAAAATTTGAAACTATGGGAGGGCGGATTAAGGAAATTTAAAATTTTGGTTCAAAAACAAAAAAAAATAATTGTTTAAATGATCTATAACAATATTTCTTTTTTTTTAATTGTACCAATCCTTTTTTTTTTAAAGTGAAGAACATTTACCTAACTATATTATGTAATAAACACAACAATAAAACTTTTTTCTTAGAATAAATAAACATGTTTGTACATTAAAAATTTCCTTTTATGGGAATGTAATAAAACTTTTCTCTTAAAATTTCCTTTTTTTGGGGGTTTGCGATCTGCATTTGGTTTCACTTTTATTTAAAGATCTCACTTGAGGAAGAGGATATACTTCAAACGGATATCCTACTTTGGTGGAAACGACAGAAAGAGATTTGCCAAAGCTATCAAGATTAGCAAGAAAAATATTGGCAATTCCTGCAACTAGTACTTCTTCCGAAAGATGATTTAGTATTGTTGGAAGACTTTTAGAACAAAGAAGAACGTGTTTGAATCCAGAAAATGTCGATTCATTATTATTTTTGCATTATAATTACATACAATATTAATTTTTACATTTATATTTTTTTTCATGAATATTCAATTTGATCAAATAAATTGTCCATAATTTACATTTGATTTATTTTTATACTTATATTAATTTCCTAAATTATAAACTTTCTGCAGAGGTGTAATGCTGAAATATTTTTATTAGATGCTTAAAAAAAATGAAAGAATGACCACAATTAAATTTTATAAGCGGGCTTGGGGTTAAAAATTTTTTTATAAATAATGGGTGGGTGGGTAAAAAAATTTAGACCAATGGGCGGGCGGGCGGGTGGGTAAGGAATTCAAGACAAATGGGCGGGACAGGCGGGTATATATTTTTTTGATTGGCAGGCGGGTTAAATTTTTTTTAAACGCCCAATGCAGACCTCTATTCTACACTCCCTGGAATTTTTTTTTCAATATTAAAAATGGGATAATTATATGTTTGAAGGAGTTTACGAAAGCGTATTTCAGTATGGGGTTAGAATAACGATATCTATATCTTTATAAATTTAAAAAAACACTCTGAACAAAGAACTTTCGATAAATTTTTAATTTATATAACTAACTTGCCAATACACGAATTTTAACTTTTTTTTTTAAAAAAAAACATATGATTTTGGCTTTAAAATAATTACAATTCAGTTATTAAAAATATATCTTTTTTTTGTTCAAAACAAAAACCATATAAAAGATATGTATTTAAAAATGTAAATAATAATTACAAAAAAATCTTAGGAAAGATTTTAAATCATAAATTTTTAAATTTAACCTATAGTTACTTTTTTGTGGGGAAACACAATTATTTACATATTCCAAGAAATATATTTCTACATTTGAAAGGCTTTTAAAAATTTTTATTTAAAATCAATCATAAGCGGGTACCAACCTTTATGACCAAGAAAAGGTGCGTTTGAACCAAATCGAAATCGTTTTTGCTGGTTAAACATTCCTTGAGGAATTTAAGGAAATTCAGGAGGAGAGTGGTATTGGAAGGGGAATCGGTGGAAAGAGATGACGTGGATTGATTCTCGGGCGAAAGCAACCTGATTTCCAAATCCGTAGAAGAAGGTCCAAAGGAATTCAGCTGCAGCAAAATGGTAGAATCTTGTCAAAAAGAAAAGTAAATTTTTTTTTATTATAAAAAGGAGCCTAATTATAAGTATCTGTCTGTACACCTTTCGCGGACCTCGATTCTTTTTCTTTTTTTAAATTATTGTTCGTATTATGTTATCGTTATGGAATTCATAAAAATAAAGAATGGATTACACCATTATATTTAACAGTTTGGCGCCGTTTGTTAAACTACAGGGTCAGATGCTTGTTAAAATTGGAACACCACTTATACAGAGCCAAAATAGAAAAAAGGTAATAGAATCATATATATATATATATATATATGTGAGATGTATAAAATTAAAAATAAGAAAGTGGAGAAAAATTGGAATAGATGGAAGGAGAAAGGAGGAAAGAGGAAGTTTAAATGGAATATGTTTTTTGAAAAAGAGAAATTTTGGTATACATGATGCATTAATTTTAAAAATATAAAAAAAAATATTAATAATGAATAGAAATTTATAAAATTAATTTGAATTGGGAAAAAATTGGAAAATTTATATAAAAAAGAACATGTTGATAGTATTGATGAAAAAAAAATGAAAAGTATTTATATTGATTATAAAGATGAAAGAATGTATAAATGTAAAAATAATTTGTTAAAATGATAAATATGTCAAATTCCAGGACATGAAGTTTAGATGAAGAATAATTAGAAGGTTGAGAGAGGTTAAGCAAGTGGCAAGAATTGTGATGATATAAAAATTGGCAAATCACAGATTTAGGATTAAAAATATGTAAAATTAGATATTATTGAACATGTGCTAAAGATGGATTGAAGGTGAAGAATGATGGGCCAATAAATAGTTCAAGTTTTTAAAAAATATAATAATATTAAAAGTTTATATAACTATATATATATATATGCATACTATTGAATATATGTAAAGGTAAATTAATAAAAAAATATTTTTGATTTATATGTGTAAATATGGATTTATGTATATAAAGGGTAATGAAGGGAGTCATTGAATAATATTAGAATATTCTTTATTTTTAATGGAGTTGGGCATTTGATATCACATTAGACCCAAGAGCAGGGAAAAAGGTAGTCGATTGTATAATAAAAGGTCTCGTGTGAATATTGGGATGAGAAATTTTGTGTTTAATATCTGAAATTTAGGATTATGACTAATTAGGAAGAAGTGTATCTGGGATAATGTTAAAATGGAAATAATGAAAAATACATTAGGATATAATTTTATAAAAAAAAAATTTTTGACTGACTTACTAATTGTAAATATTCTGTCTAATCAAACTACAATGATGCTTGGATCAATCAAGCTACGACTCAAACCATTGGGATTTAATGACAATCAACAGCACAATGTCAATCAGGCTATGACTTACTAGCCATTCAAGAAAAAAATAAACTTCCTGGAACAGAAAAAAAAGAAAATAAATAATATTTAATTTAGATCATTTATTCGAATTTAACGGGAGGGGTGGGGAGGGGGGCTTTTAGTATCTGTCGATTTGTAATTGACATTTATTGACGTTCTGTAAATATATTATCGAAAAAAATAATGATTTTTAAAAAAAAAAAATAATATTGTCGGACATCTTTGTTTATACTTATGTTCAGAGTTGTTAAAAGATACTTTTCAAATGGATCTAGATACAGATACATAGTCTAAAAATTTATCTAGATACAGATACAGCTTCTAAAAAGTTATCTAGATACAGATACAATTTATGATGTATCTAGGTACAGATACATTTTTTATTATACTCTTAGATAAGGTTTGAATAAACCTAAATTAGGATTCTATTGTGAAAATTCATGAAATGATCTAAAAAATTTATTGACTCGATATCACATTTATCAAAATATAACTAAAATAATGATTTTTAGATATTAATATAATACGATTAATATAAATAATTATTATATATCAAATAAAATAATATATGATAAAATGATTATAAATAATTATTAGATTTCAGTAATAAAATATTTTCAAAATTTTGGTTTAAGACATCCTCGTTTATCTGTAAAGACATTTTTAGCTATATTAAAAAGTCTTTCAACAGGAGCGCTGGTAGGGATTATGGTGTTATATTTAATGAATAACATTTTTATATCAGGATATTGCTTAAAAATACTAAAATCTCGGCATTAATTTTTGAAAAAACTATTTAAAATTTGTTGATTATCAGAATTTAAATCATTAACAAACATATCTCCTGCTGTGGGATACTGAAAAAAAACGGATATTAAATTATCGTTTTTTTTCACAGGTTAATTTTCACTCATTTGAAGACTTTGATAATTCCTCAACTAATTTTTGTATTAATTGTTTTTTTTAATTAAAATTTTCATCCATTTGCAACCATGTCCAATCTAGTTTAAAAAAAGGAAGAGGCATAGTTGCCAAAATATATTCATCTTCAAAAATTGTCCCAATAAAGCTAAAATTATTAAATACTGATTAATTTATTATTAATTTACCTATCTTCAATTCCTTTAAGTAAGGCATTTAAGAGTGGTAAACAAAATTTCAGGTTCATTTGTTTAAAATTTTTCAATTTAATAATGAGCTGGGAAATACGTTTACCGGCGATAGGTACTCCAACAATCTGCTGTTGTGCATATTAACGATGGTTCTATTCGATTTTTAATAATTTCTTTCTTTTCATTCTCCCATCTTTGGGAGATTCTAGCAACCACTGTCTGTCGGCAAATTATATTTTTTTGTGGAGCTAATGTTTTGATCATTTTTATAAATGATGGATTTATGGCTGAATGCTATCTATAATAAAATCAGATATTAAATCATCTAAAATGGGTTGGGTTGAAGTCTGAGGTCTCTTGAAAAAAAAATCAATGGACGATGAGCCTCGTTCAATATTTTCTTTAATAAATTTTTTCTCCTTCCCCTTTTTTATTTGGATTAAGAGTGTTTGATGTTTTCTCTTAAAATTAATGTAAACATTTATTAAGTATCTATACCCTTAAATGTTTAACAATGTTGCAAGTTGAGGTAATGCTAACTGAAATTTTCATATTTTTTGGACATGGCAAACATTTTACTAACAGAGAACAGAGATTTGTTTTCTTTATTTTGAGATATTATTTTAAAATATGGTCTATAAATTGGCCATGGAATGTCGTCATTTTTGTCATCAATATTAATCTTAAAAATTAATATAATAGAATAAAATAAAATACCAATTCCATTGCAATTAAAAATGGCAAGATGGATTTTAATATCAGAATGACATAATTTTTAATTACTATTTAATTAATATTTATATATTCTTTTATATATATAAGTTTTAATATTTTACATATATCTATATATAATTTTTTAATATATACATTAATATTAATTTATATGCTCATATGAAATAAAATAAATTTTACACTCAAGTATTTTTATTTATAATAAGCGTTAAATAAAAGTATATCAAAATGTATCATAAAAAGTATCTACAGATACCTCCAAAATATTATCTAGATACAGATACAGATACTTTAATCAAAAATTTATCTAGATACAGATACCACATTTTTATATCTAAATACTGTATCTAGATACTTTAACAACTCTGCTTATGTTATTGTTACGGAAATTCATAAAAAAATTGTATTAGTTCTGACAGTTTGGTGCCTTTAAGCTATAAGATAAGATACGAGAGATATGGAGTGACATCTTAATCACGTGAGCTCGGACCCTCGTATTTTGGCTGAACCCGGACCCTTTTAAAAAGTGGAGGGTCCATGGGTTCAGGGTGTTAAAAATTTTTAACTTTAATTTTAAAAAAAAATAATTTAAAATTTTTATAATTTCCTTCGTGGAATCATTTATTTTACCTTCGCGTTTTTCTTCCTGGACTTCATTTCATTTTATTTAGATATTGATACTGTACATTATTTTATTATAGTGTAAGTAATAATATTTTATTATATAAGTTTATTTGCTCTTATTAGAAATACTTAGACTATTTTGATTTGAAAGTGAAATTTGGAATTATTTTGTACAGTAATATTTTAATTTTAAAGGCTTATCTATATAAAAATTTTATTAAGTGATTATTTTCCAGTGCTAAAATATTAAGGTTATGTTTTTTTGAGCAGTAAATTTAAATTAATCATAGAACATATATATATAACATTTAATATATTACTTTGTTATTATATATTGCAATTAATAAATTATTAATTGCAATATATAATATTTTCTAAAGTATAAAAAAGAATCAATTAATCTTTTTTAGAACATATTTTTAATGATTAGTAAGACACACCCTTAATATAAAAAAAAATAAATGTAATAAATAATAAAGAAAATAAAGTAACAAAAATATCACCACAAGATGGAGCATTTTTTAAAAAACTGAATTTGTATATTTTTTTTAGATATAACAAAAAATAACGGTTTAATTTGACAATATGAATATATATTTTATAATATATATAGCTATAAATTTAAAATTCATACAAGGTTCTTTTTGGTTCAGCGAAAATAAGGATGTTTTCAATAATAGTAATTCATAGTTTTAATGAAATAATATTTCGAATTTTTGCCTTAATGCCTTATGATGATTTTGTTGATTGTTTTATGATGGAGTGGCGACCTTGATTACGGGAGTTAAGGCTGTGTCGGGCGTTAGGATGTATGGGTAAGTTAAATTGGTGGCATGTGTTTGGTTGTGCAAGTGAGCATCCAAATCTAAATCCTGTAGTAATTCTCAGTTGCTTGTTGGTTAAGAGATTATCTACGGTCTGGCTTGGAAGTGCTTCGAGCCAATCGTGCCCTCCGTATTTATCGTTGGATTGCAATAATTGTATGACGTTAATATCAGTAGGATTAAGGGGCTATTTTGTTGGTTCTTTATTAGGAGTTCAATAATAGATTTGTTGGATATTTCGGTTGGAAATGTAAAATCGTCTGGGGTAAGTTGATTCCAACGTTCGATTACTGCGGTTAAAAGATCATCATTGAGTGTTATAAATGATAAAATGTTTTTATCTATCTAAAATCTAGTATCGTTTCCACTCATCCTCCTCATTTACCGCTTCAAAATTTTTCAATCAACACAATATTCGCTTAAAAACTTTTTTAGAAAAAAATCCTCAACCTTTCATTATCGGACTTAAATTGGCACCTCGATATCGACTTGATCCTCTTAGAACTGCTTATCTCTACTCATCTCAAAGCATATCCCTCAATCCAGCGATCTCATCATTTATAGCACACAATGATGATCTTTTCGCAGCAATCGAACGTTGGAATCAAATCAACTTACCCTACACGGTTTTACATTTCCAACCGAAATATTCAGCAAATCTATTATTGAACGCCCCTTAATCCTACTGATATTAACGTCATACAATTATTACAATCCAACGATAAAAATGGTGGGCACGAATGGCTCGAAGCACTTCCAAGCCAAACCTTAGATAATCTCTTAACCAACGAACAACTGAGAGTTACCATGGGATTTAGACTTGGATGCTCACTTACACAACCACACATATGCCACCAATGTAACTTACCCGAGCATCCTAAAGCCCGACATAGCCTTAACTGCACCCGCAGCCAAGGTCGCCATCTCCGTTTTAAAGCAATAAATAAAATCATCCATAAAGCATCTAATAAGACAAAAATCAACATCCTCGAACCAACTAACCTTTCATTAGAGGATGACCTCAGACCCGACGGTTTACTCTGTACCCCCGGATCCAACGGACAAAAGTCAATAGTCCCATTTTTCCAAAACTCCAGTACATTCCTTCTATCTCATTACTGATCAGTGTAAATTTTATAATAAAAATATTTTTTAGGGCCAATAATTTAAAATTCGTGCAATTTTTATGGAAAAAAAAACTAGTTTTTCCAAAACTCCAGTACATTCCTTCTATCTCATTACTGATCAGTGTAAATTTTATAATAAAAATATTTTTTAGGGCCAATAATTTAAAATTCGTGCAATTTTTATGGGAAAAAAAAACTAGTAAGTAATATTTTCTTGTTTTTTAAGTTTTACTAAAGTTTAGAAAAATGTTTGAGATTTTTTTTATTTTAGGGTTAAAGCTTAAAGTAAAGTTGAAATGTTAATCAATAAAATTGAGATGCGAGCGAGAGTATTTTCCTATTAATATATTTTTTTTCTCCCATAATATTGAACACTTTCAAAATCATATTAAATTTTTTTTTGTAAATAACGTTTAGGATATCTTATTATAAACTAGATAAAAATTTTTGATTTAAATTTATTGAAACTAAACGCCGTATAACATATGTCTTTTATTTTGAGTAATTATAAAAAATTAATTTCTATATTTAAAAAATTTCGGGCCGGGCCGGGCTTGAAAAATTAGGCCCAATGCAGATCACTATTATTATAAACCTCTGGTGTTGTTAAATCATATAACTTTGGCTAGCTTTAAAACTGCTCAGCCAAGTTATTCATTCTAAAAAAAATATAGTCTCTATCATTAAGTTGAGGGGATATTCTTGACCATGCCACTTTAGAGTTGGTCAAAATAAGGTGATTTTTATGATCAGTAGCCTCTGGCAAATTAACAAGTGATTAGAAGTAGCATCGATATAAAATAAAATGCTAATCATTTATCCAGGAGATGCGATTAGACCACTCCAATAAATAAATATTAACCATATGATTTTCCTATTTTTTTTATTTCTTTCAAATCTTATAATATAATCCATCCTCGTATTGAGTTTGTTACCCTTATCTCTTTGCTATTCTTTCGAGATAAAAGATATAGCTCTACAAAAAATTAGCTTTACTCATATTAGAGGTCTGCAAGGCCTACGCGTTGTTTTGAAATTTATTTAACCCGCCAGCCCGCCTAAAGTTTAGAAAATTATTTTAACGGCTGGTTTGACTCTTTATTTAATTTATTTAAAATGTATTTCTAATAAAAACAAACACATATATAATATGCAATTTTAATAAATTGAAGTCTGTTCTGCCCATTTCGCCTATCAAAAATATCGATAATTTACCCGTCACACGCCTGCCCATTACTTTAAAAAAATTTTCAAGCTCGATCGCCACCCGACCAAATGTTAAAAATATTTTAGAAAAACCCGACCACGCCCATTCAAAGTATAGGCCAGAGAGCGGGCGGGCGAAAACCCCGCCCAATGCAGACCACTAACTCATATATCAGTATATATTTAACTAAAATAAAATTATATAATTAAAAAAGAAAAAAAAAATTTTTTTTTTTTTACGTTGATTAGAATCTTCGGCGTCGTAACGAAGCAACAAATTCCCGAAAGGTGTTCTGTCGTCGAAACTGACCAAGCCACCACCTTTCTCCTCCGATAGCGATGACTTTATTTTGCTTACTATTATATTTTATTTATTTTTTCCAAAAATAAAAATTTGAAATAAGAGAAGTTTTTTTTTTTAACAGAGATTATACCAGATACTATTTAATTTTAAGGTTCCCCAGTTTCTATATAACATATTTAAATGAGTAACTTATTTCTTAGGATTCAGCCCAAATAGTATTTTTTATGGTAAAGAAACTTCATAAAATATATGGTCAATTGTTTTTATATTATATTCACTTTAACTGACCTTTTATATAATATAATAAAAATTACGCTATATTAAATACACGACAAATATATTATTCAAATAATGTTGAATAACCTTCCCAGATGATCTAATCCGATCCTAACAAATAAACTCACAAAATTAAATTAAATTTTAAAAATTATTTAAGCATTATCTCGTTTAAACTGAAATTATGCCGACGGGTAAAATATTAAAATGTAAACCGTAGCCTAAAGAGTTAAAAACAGGATAGAATATTTATCGAACGCCGTCGTATATAACTGCGTTCACAGATAGCGCGATATTCGCGGCGAAGTATGCAAAATATCATTTGTAAGTATTATAATTTTACATTCATTATTTACAGAGTTGTTAAAAGATACTTTTTAAATGGATCTAGATACAGATACATTGTCTAAATATCTAGATACAGATATTTTAATCAAAAATCTATATAGATACAGATACCACATTTTTATATCTAGATACTGGGTCTAAATACTTGTATCTAGATCCTTTAACAACTCTGATTATTTGTATACTTCGACGCCAATTAGGGTTAACTGTGAACGCAGGGTAACCTATTAAATATATAAAGGTTTTTGTTTAACTACCTAACACTCCACTCTTCCTACACTTTCCACCCCCCCCCACAAAAAAAAATAAATTAAATAAAATCTGACCTTCTTTTCCCGAAATTTCGTAACCGATATTTTGGTCCTTTCGATGAGCGGCGGACGGCAAAAAAAATGGGGCGTCGGTAATATCGACTTCCATTTTATTCCTCATCTTGAGGGCGTCCAAATTTATCGTGGCTCGAATCTGATTGGCCGAAAGGCCGGATAAATTGATCAGCGATTTGTTCGCGTGACTCGGTGACGTAGCGGCGTTGTTTCGGAATTGTGGTAGCAGTAACGAGGAGGATGTAAGAGATACTTTGATGAAAATATTTAACAATCAATAAAACTTCTTAATGTGATCACCCCCCTATTGGCTAAATAATATTGGGCCATTTTACTATATTATCCCTCGATAATATTTACTTAAAATACAAACCTCATAATTTGATCATCTTATAATATGATCCGCTCTCGAATCGCCCTTAAGCGGCCCCTTAATATTGCGGTTTTAATATTATTAATCACGAAATTAGGTGCGGGATAATTTTGGGAAAAAGTATAGAGAAGTTATAAATTTTTACCCGTTTCCTCTCCGTTCTCGCTGAGCTCTATGGGAACGTCGATCACTTTGCTAAGAGGATGCAATTGGACGTGTTTGTACAAGGTGGCGTCCGACCAAAGGTATAGATACCTGTCATTCAAATGAGCCGTAACGAGGTATTGCGGTGAGAGATCGAAACTTATTATCGGGCTCGAGGTTGGGCACTTCATTATATCTAACAAACTTCAAAAGAGAGAAATTAATAATGAAATTTAAAATTTGATCATTACTTAGAACTTGCAATGTGCCAAGTTTTGAAGGTGCAATCCAGGCTGGAACTGAATAACAGCTGACAATCTTGGGATCGAAAACCTAAATCCGTTATCACAGAACAATGTGCGGACCGGAAGTGTCTAACGCATTTCCGGTTAGAAATATCTACCAGCAGAATAGAATAGTCTTTCAGGGCTAAGGCGAGTAACGAGCTTTGAAAGCGAGTAAAGGAAGGGGCATTAAAATTAGAACATATTCAAGTTTATAGTATTTACCTAAACACCCTCCTTAATTTATCAATCCCCCCCCCTCATGATATAATATTTATATTAACATCTCATTATTCCCGGTATTTATAGGTGTATAATAGATAGGTGTCAATAAATAGCTCCAAGTAAAATAAACACATCTGGAGACAGGGCCAAGACACGATAACAGGTCCGTAAAATAAGACACTACAGATTTTTTTTAGTGATTTTTCTATTGGATCGATATTTAAAAATATTGAAGTTAGCCGTTTTTTAAAAATTGGGCTCACGAGCCGTTTAAACCACACTATTGCGGGGTTTGGGTCTAAAAATCGACTAAACCAGCCCTGAGTAAGAACCCCGAGCACAGACACCCGTGGTTTAGACTCGGGGTTCGGGTCACTAGGTATATCCATCTATTATACACTTTTTATATGTAAAATAATCCAATACCAATGAATTCACAGACCTGATGATGGCATTGCTTCAAAAGTATAAGGTGTCAAAATTCCCCATTTCTCAAGTTGGTTTAAAGATTTTATTCTTAATTACATCTGATTTCACCCATCAAAAAATGACTATGTGTTATGGTTGCCTTAGCACCATGTGTCTGTTTTTACATTCATTTAACATTTTTGAATGTAGTATATGAATTAAATTATAAGATTAACGTTAACAATAAAAATATTTTAAAAAAATATACTAAAAATAACCTATTTCGATGAAATGCGTCAACGCCAGATAATGGCGGCAAACCTTTGATTTTTAAGATGTCGATCAGTTTACGAGTCCCAAAGGCCCAGAATTTGATGGAGTGCCCGTCAATATCCCGACCAACGTTACCGTTATTATCGGCGTTGCTGGTAACCACTAAAGTGTCGGAACAAGCTATTCTGAGAAGATTGACGGGTTGTTGACTTTCTGATGACAATGTGGTAGGATTCTAGAATACATTTTTACAGTTTTAGAAAAATAGTACAATTTGCAATTTAGCAATAAAATATAAAATGTTAATTTTCGTTCCAAAATAGTCAACGGCATATTTAGGGTGGGGGGGGAATGCCGTTATGACCCACTCTACCCCTACATGAAACAAATAAAACATAATTCCCAAAAAATTTACACTTATGAATTATTGATTTGATGTGGAATTTTAAAAAAAATCGATTTGTATAACTTTTTCCTATGACATAATTTCCTTTGTCAAAGATGTAAGTGTCATTTTTTTTCGATACTAATTTGGTTCAGAGCCGTTACTTTGATATTTAAGCTAGAGGTCTGCATTGGGTAGGTTTTTGGACCAAAGGCCCGCCCATAGTTTTCAAAAAAATATATACCCGGGCGTGGGCTCAGACCTCTAATCTAAGCAACTAATAATTTTTTTTAAGAAGTGAAAAATAGTAACCCCATGCTAGCAAACCCTAAAAACAGAGTGTTATAAATCGGAAAATTAATAATGTAAAATATTGTTTAGTTAAATCTAGGAATAATCGACATATATATTTATAAACATAAATATATTCAATTTGGTATTTCGCTTGTATTTAATTTTAAATTTTAACTCGTATTTCAAAAATAGTGAATTAAACAAACCTTTATTTAACTTAACATTTAAAGATTACGATTCAAATTTATTGACAAGATATAAATATATTTTGAATACTTTATTATTTAGGTTGCGTCCAAAACGTAAAATTAAATTCACAAACTTTTATGAAAAAAATAAAAAACATGTCCCAAAACATTTCTAGAAAATTATAAAAATTTCAAAAATTTTGAAACTTTGCGAATTTTTTTAAAAAACGATTTTGGACATAGCCTTAAAAATAAAATTTTTTAACAAACTCCCTACCTCTCGATACAGACTAAATTATTTTCTTAAGCTTGAAGTCTATATTGTTTATAAAAAAAAGAATATTTAAGATTTTATAATTTCGGAGAATTCGAATTATTATTATTTATTAATATTGATTGGCAGATAATTTAAATATAATATTATAAAATAGGGATCATTAGTTAGTCGGTTAAATATTTCGGTCTCATCCGACGGGTCGGTAAACCGGAAACAAGTTTTAAAAACGGGTCATGCGACCCTGGCGTAATTAATTTACTTTGTCGCTTAACGTGGTCTCGGTGTAAATTCCTCGAGATAGCCCAGATTGCAAATTGAATTTCTCGACGCGACCTTCATTTTTTTTTTTTAAATTATATATATAAAAATTAGAATAAGGCCATCAACGAGTTCCAAGGAAAACTTATAATAGAGTTGCCTCAGAACACCGATATTGGCCTGATTGAGTGCACCATTTTTGAAACGCTGCGTTGAAAAGTTAAATTCATGCCCACTATTATTCTGCTTATGTGACCCAAAAAAAATATTTTTTTTTTGTAAAATAAATAAAATGATTTATTTTTAAGTCCCAAAATCTTATTTTTTTTTTGAATTAAAATTTTCAAAAGTTAGAAAAAATTTTATAGATTTTATTTTTTTCTACAAAGTCTCGAAAGTTCTTTGCGAATCGTATTTTTCGATATTTTGAACTTAGCCATAAAAAAAAAAAATTGGAAGAAAGAAAAAAGGTATCCAATTCTTTGATATTATTTTAAAAAATTTAAAAGCGAAATAAGTTATATCCCCAAAAACTATTCATAAAATCGACAAAAAAGAAATGGTCCGTTCGTATAATTTTCGCGTTTTCGAACCAATGAATGACACATAGAGTGACTAAAGATGCATTCAAATAATAATGCATTTAAAGCGTCGTTGAATGCAAATCAGCTGGAACAGCCATTTTGGTAACCCATACTATAATTATTCTCGTGTTTAAAAACTACTATTAAATTGATAACTCGCTTCCTTATTATCTCGATGTTGATCGGACAATTCTTTAATAAAGTTTGCGTCAGGACATAGGAAAAAATTGGTCTCTCGTTTAAAATTTTTGATAATGATATGGGTAACCGAAATGGCGTCATCAGCTGTTTTTCATTGATGTAACACCTTTAATGAATGCATCGTCATTCTAGGTATTATTATATGTCATTGTATCGAACGAGTGTTACTATCGTAAATAAAAACGAAATGCTAAAAAATATTTGATTAAAATAAATACAATCTTTACCAATAAAAAAGCTTTAAAATAACAAAAAAAATGACGCCCTATATTTGTTTCCCTTTATTCCTGTTGTAGTCGAAGAAATATATATTTATTTTTTTTTGTATGCTTGTATGTTAAAAGAAAGAGAAAAAAAAAACATATTATTGATTTTTGAGATGATATATTTTTATTTTCGCTCGCGATTTTCATTATTATTATAGTTTTTTAATGTTTTTTTTCGGCGATTTGGTGAATTTAGAAAAATTATAAACGATATTTTTTTTTAGTTTTTTTGAATTTAGAAAAGAATAATATATATTTGTATTTGAAATTAATAAAAAAAATAAATAAAATAATTGGAAATAAAAATTTGTCTTGAACTTTGAAATAAAGATTTGTCTTAAACTTTGAGGATAAATTTGTCTTAAACATTTTTGGTGTCTTAAACATTTTAGGATCACTACGATTCCCTCATTTGCGTAAATACCAATTCTAGTTTAAAATACCTTTAAGAGAAAATAATTTTAAAAATGTCGGAAAAAAATGGGGGTTACCGTCGGAAAACCCGAAAATGGAAAAGTGCCCGCTTTCGCTAATAGCGCAACGAAGAGCGACAGCTCTAGGTCGAAAGTTTCGGCCCGATGCCTTTTGACAATTAAAATTCCATGAGGAGGACGATCCATTTCGATGACAGGTGGCTATATTGTCCCAAGTTCTGGCGTTTAATCCTAAACCTTTAAATAGGAAAATTTACACAAATTATGTGATTTATTTGAAATTTGTTGAAAAAAATACTTGAATCAAAATAGGTGATGGGCGAAGGTTGCATTGTTTTTGGAAGACCAAAGCACTTGTTTTTGCCCTCGTGGATCGTCGAAAAAATCCGGAAAGAACCGTCTGATCCTATGGGAAAAATCAATCAGTAAGATTATAATTATAGATTGTATTTGACAATTTATTAATTAGGCTTCGCTAAACTACCCAAATCTCATCGAGGAACCCGTTCACCTATCCCTGTATGATGCCATAAAAACAAGATGGCCCTTACATATACTCCTTTGGTCTAGATTGAAATTATCTTATTTTGAATTTCAACTGTCTCTAAGTTGGCCTCTAACTCAAACATAACCCAATAACAGCTGAAAGGTCGAAACAGATTTATACATTTCACCGCCAATAATTATGGCGATATTTCTTCGCGGATAGTCAGAGCAAATATTATATAATCCAAATTTGGACAATTAAAATTCGTTATTATCCAGTTTCCTTAGTTAAAATTTTTTAATGATAACAACCTGAGCTGAGAATAAATTCTTGATCGTAGAATCTTATCCTATTAATGGGCGTTTTATGACCCTCTCTGACGTGTAAAGACGTGGCGGTACCATCTGGCCTGTCGAAATTCCAGACCTATGTTGTTGTTTTTTTAAAAATTGATAAAACTTGGATAATATAAAAGTAAGTAATGGAAAGAATGAATAATAATGTAGAATGGAAAATTATGATGAACCTTCATGGAATTGTCACCGGAAGACGTGACGAGCAAGGGTTGAAAGGGTATAAAGATGGCGGACACGAGAGTTTTGGATGAGTGAACGTGAGCCATCTTCGTTATCAAGCGTCGCTCCTCCAGGTCCCATACGGCTAGACTACATTTTACGTGGGATCCACTTATGAAAAAATTTTTGCCGTCTTGGTTATTTTTTGTTTTTGTTTAAAAAAGATTTTATTCCCATCTATCCAGATTTTTAATCATTCCTTATTCTTTAAAAAAAAATAAAAAATTTCTTACCAGTTCTAAAGGACAACAGATCCACTGGTCCCCAACCTTGCTTGAAGGTCATTATGGTCTCGTCGCTTTTGATGTCGTGGAGCGCGATAACGCCATCCGCCATTCCTATCCCCATTACGTCAACGGCTGGTGACTAATTATAAAAATTAGATAAATAAATGGAAAAGTTAAAAACTCGAATTAGAAAAGAGAAGTGAAAAAAAAATGTGATTTACAAACTTGTTCGATGACGTTGATCTTAGATCGCCACCCCTTGAAATGGTACACCATCGTGTTCGTTTTAATGTTCCACAATTCCATGCTCCCTTGATGCGATCCCAATAGTATTTTGTTCAAATAGGTCTGAGGGTGAATTACGGCAGATATCTGTTAAAGTTTTCAAAAAAAAAAATATATATCTTCATATAAATGTAAACTATACGGATGTTAGTTAAAATCGAGAGTAATCGGCAATTAGGTTAGCTTTGAAAGTATTCGGTGTCGGTTAAGGTATTCGATATTGGTATACAATTAGAAGTATTAAATATGGGGTTAAAAACTCTTAAGTGTTCGGTATAGATTAGGTTAAAATTCAAATCGACTGTTAACGGATACCAGGGTATTATTAGGTCCGACGCAGATTATTAGGTTAATAATTCAAAAAACAAACTTTAAACAGGGTAGGTTCGAAATTAATTTCCGTGTATTTCGATCTGTCCCGTATCTCCCAAACGTGTACCGAGTTGCTATCATCGATCGTGATTAAATGAAACCCGAACGGAAGAATATGGCGAATAGCGGCCACGTGATCCGGAAACTCGTGCCTTTTTTTTTTGGAAATAATAATTTTTGTTTAAAGAAAAAACACCTGCTTTTTTAAATTTAGAAGTAAAAAAAAAATTGACTTATTCTATACCCAAAGAATTATATCGTTCTATCTGTTATAAAAAAAATAACCTTAATCCCCGATTGATGTTTATGGCGAGGAGAGTTTTAGAACACGCTACGAATATGAAATTGTTGTCGGCGGAGAGGCAGTCTATAGCGGAGTCGAGCGGTTTGCTCGTGGAGACCAGCCTTAAGCCCTTGTACTATTTTTTGATAAATAAAAATTATTAATTTTTGGACACATATTCATAAAAAATATTTAGATAGATGATTTCGAAGTGCTGGCGAGATATGCCGCTGTCAAATATTTGACAACAATCCTTTCATACATGCCAATCATTTTGCAAAAAGAGGAAGTCTTTGCAGAAGAGGGGGGGGGGGTGTGTATGGCTTTTTTTTGTAAAACTTAATTTTAAAAAAAAATTTCCTGTTCAGTGTTCACTTGTGTCTTTGTTAGAGAGTAAATATAACTAATATAAAATATTATGGAGAAACAAAAAGAAATAGAAAGCAGAAAGTAGGAAAGAGAAGGAAAAGAAAGAAATTTCTAAGGCATGGAGGATTATTGGATAAGAAAAAATAAAATTTAGGTAGTTTAACGAATAATGATGGTAGCAAGCCTCTGACGTAAGATAAGAGATTCCTTACTGACGAGTCTTTACATGTATCCATCTTCCTAACCCTTTAAAAAAAAAGTATTGAGATTTGCTGCCGAAAATGGTAAGAATGGAGGAGGCGAGTGTAATCGACGTGTGGTTAGATGGTGAATTGGATCAATGCAGGTGAAATCCCATGATCACTTGACCAAGAAAATTAAGAACATTCCATCAGGAAGTTTTCATCGGTACTAAATATGCCGGTTGGTTCAAGTCTAGAGGGAATGCCTGCGGATTTAAGTGCACGCAAAATAATGTTGCATTTGGCGTACCGTGGGAAACAGCCTCCGCCAAAGCGGCAATGCTCACCTTTGCTATCTAAGCTGGTTTCGCAATGGTTTGCATTGGTAAAGTAGAACAATTTCACAATTGAGCAGTAATCCAATAGAAAATCTTTGCTCATAAGCGGAAAGAAGCAAATCCAGGTTGTTGCTGGGTATGGTTTCCAGAAACTTGAATGGATCCTTGGTTCAAGTGGTGAAAAACTGTGAGATCTTCATCGTAAGGCTTGATTTTTAGATAAGAGAGGAACCTTCATTGAGTGGAGTAATCCCAATCTTTCCGTGAACACGGGGAAGGTCGTAGAGTTCTAGAGACTACGGAATTGTCCCAAATGGTCTGGGCTTCGTGCTAACAATGGGTAAGCAAAGGGGGGAAAGCTGGCGAATGTATGAATCAGATGAGAGACGGGAAGCGATGGATCCACTGATAGAAAATGGGGCGAAGGTAAGCTTATTATTCCCCTTAATGGCCAATATCTTATGTAAGCCTGTAGATGGGCAGAAAGGCTAGGACCTCTATTTGCTAAATCTCTAGGATTACATAATTTTATTTTGGCTAAAATGTTGATCGGACAGTTTAATAACACCAATCCAAACTCAATTTATATTAAATTATTCGATTTAAATTAATTTTATCAATGAATTCCTACAAAAAAAATAAATTGATAATAATCAAATTTAAGGGATTAATTAAAACTTTTATACTTATCTAATAAAATGAGGTTAAAAAAAACAAAATAGATTTATATCATATTTTTATTCAAAAAAAATGCAATTAAAATCAATTTGATTTAATCGTGCCATTTCTAATACATATATTATTCAAAATAGCAACTTTTTTTAAAAAAAAATATATCGAGAACTATGTACTTTGATTGAAATGTTTGTTACGTATATTGGCAGCACCAAGAAAGATTGGCAAGTGGGGAATTAATGATATAATTTTTTAAAAAATAAGTACCAGGGGTTAACGAGTCAATTTTTGATTGAACCCAGGATAGAAAATTTCCTACCTCTTGAAGTTTATTTAATCTGAGCATTTGGAAGTTAATAAATATTTATAAATTATATAGGGGTATTCAGGTTGTAAAAAGGTCTCAAAACCACAAACATTTTATATTGATAGTTGAATGCCTATAATTTTTATGTTCATACACAGGGTTGTTATGTCCCCCCCCCCATCAGAGAGGATGATCCCACAATTTTTTAGTTGACATATAGACACACCCCACCCTCCCACTCTTTTGTAAAACTTTTGCATTAAAATTTTTAGCATTTTAATGTTTTTAAATTATAAATTAATTTTGATGAAACAGTATTTGACTTTAATCAAATATTTTTTTTAAAAAGTAAATTTTATTTTATTTTTTTCAAAATGCATGTCTAGTTTGTGGATTTCCTTCTTTCTAATATGTTATATCCAATATATAGGCATAAAATCATAATAACCTTTTGTTTGTGTAACTAAATATTAGGAATTTGTATATAGGAACATTTTACCTGAATTAGACTATATTTCCTCAAGGGTGAATCACCTGTCTCTTAACTTAATTTATTCACCTAAATACAAAACATAATTATAAATTATACTGGACTTATTTCTAGAAGATAATTATTTCATTTATTATAGATCACTTTAAATATAAGAGCAATTCATTATTACTATAATCCATTGGCGTACGCAGCGGGGGGGGGCAAATCCCCCCCCCCCCAAAGCCAAAAAATGCAGATGCCGGATATATTTTTCAAAAATATTTTTGTTTAGAGTGTTGTGCAGATTTAATTTAAAACATTCCCATATTTTTTAATTCGTTTGTAAATAAAAATTTTAACTGTAAAAATTGATAAGAATATATAAATATGTTATTTAACAACTTTTACATAATTTTATTTTCAAATAAATTAATAAATATGGAAATGTTTTGAATTAAATTTACACAGTACTATATTAATTTATATTTGTTAATATTTATTCCTATCTCATATTAAATATATATTTAATTACATTTATTATCACATTCATCACTAAGTTTATCAATTAATTTCGATTTCAAGTTTTCCGGCATAATATTATCTTCAAATTTTTAGCGGTGTAATATTTATCTACCATTTTTAAATTTCTAGTCAAATAATTATTCTGAAATTGTCCAACAGGGAGAAAGAAATTGCAACCTTGTCCTACGAGATAAGAGTCTCCGCCATCAAGCAGTAACAGCTTTTATGGAGTTAGAAGAGCCGATTATTTTCTATTACTGACATATCACAATGGCCTGAAAGAAATTTTTCCTTAGAAGCAAGAAAATTATTGGAATCAATGCTTATTCCAAATTTTTTTTCTCATTAGAATGTACAACTATTTTATGTATTACTTTTCAAAAACATGATGACTTGATTAAGAAGATAAGAATAGCAGAGAGCATTTTATTAGAATTCAAGGAAATTAAGGCTAATGTTTATGAAGAATTTCATATTTTTATTGTTAAGTCAAAAGCAGAGCTATACGTGTTTAATATTTGTCTCACTCGACTTGCAGAAAGGCAAGCTCATAGTTAAAACATAGGATCAGTAGAAGAGTATATCTTAGATACAAATACATTTATAAACCAAATAAATGAATGGTTTTTAATTCATTATGCAGCACTTATTAACTGCAAATATTATTTCCATAAAAGCCTTCCCAACCTTTTTCAGATGGTGATAGAAAAAAAATATTTTTGGATTTTTATCATGAAGATGTTAAAGTATCTTATGATGCCTTATTAGCTGAATAACTATGTTTATAAGATTAACTATGGTTGATACAGTCCCAAAAAATGCTATGGATGCTTTGCATTATTACAAACACATTTTAGATTATATTCCCAATGTATTAAAAGGGTTTATATATATTAGCAACTCTTCCCAATAGTAAACTAATGAGAGAACTTTCTCTTTTTTAAGAAGAATAACAGAGCCCTGCAGAGGTGCCATTTGCAGGGCACGACCCGGATTTTTTTAAAGATTTTTACGGCTAAGTTCAATTTTCAGGCCCGGCCTGGCCTTTTTTAAAATAAAATTTTCAGGCCACCCAGATTTTAAAATAAATTATATTTATATTTGATTTTTATAGCTAATAATAACGATTTCAAATATAGGCTGTTTTAAAATATACAATCCGGCCCGGATATTTTTTTAAAAAAAATTTTCAGGCCAGGCCTAGATGTTTTTTTTTTAAATTCAGGCTCAGTCCTGGTGTTATTTTTTAAAAAATTTAGGGCACGGTGGGCCAGACCTGCAGGTCTCTGAAAAACATACCAAGAAGTACAACTTCTGAAAGTAGATTGAAAGGTTTGGATCTTTTGAATATTCATAGGCATTTGACAACAAGCAAGGATTAGATAATTGAAAAAATAGCTCAATCCCAACGAAGATTGGATTTTACATTATAAATATATAACATACAAAATACAATTATTCCCTAAGCTTTTTGTGTATTAATTTATATTTCTAACATTTAAATTTTTTATGCTTTATATATAACTTTTAAAGTTCAAAAAAATCAAATTTCTATTTTGGGTCATTTAATTGATTCTTTACATATAATTTTTTTATAATTCAAATTAATTTAAAATTGTGTATTTGAAATAGTTATTAGTCCTAATAAATTTATGCTTGATATTTTTAAAACAATAATATTTATTATTACCCCCCCCCCCCCTCAGACCAAATTCCTGCGTACGCGCCTGCTATAATCAGTCATTTAAAACAAAGCAATACATAACTCTTAAATATTTTCGAATTAAGAAACAATCATTAATTCCTATTTCAACAAATGTAAACCACATACGATATGGAATAGTTAATACCCATGAACCGCTAAATATATATTTTTTAAATGATAAAAGCTATCCAAATATTTTGAAAGAATTATTTTGAATTAGGCATTGTTTAAAATTTAGGAAATCTATATGCTTTTAATATGAAATTGCAATCAGAGGAATCTTTGTTAATAAAGCAGCACAAAATTATTTTACAGCCAATTAATTTATACAGCTAAAAATTGATAATAAATTTCATGGCTCTTCTATTTTTTAAAAAAATGTCATTTTCAATTGTTTAAAATGTTCCCCTTTTATTAAAGCAATTATTGGTAATCAAGATTTTAATGTTATGACCTTGGAACAAAAACTATACATTGTTAGATTTTGTTTTGATAAATATAAAATATACTGCTATATCTCTCAATTTTGTTTATTTTACTCTAAAATACTCAAAATAAATGGTCTAAGTAAGTACATTGGAGAAATGGCGTAAAGTTGTAATAAGGATAGATTCCCATGCTTGGAAAAAATATGCTAGCATGTATTTTATATTACTTGTTTTGAAATTATAAAACATTACTAACTTTGTTATTATCTAAAAAAAAATTATTGCAAAATTAATAATTATTTTAATGATCTAGTTGTAATAAAGATCATTTTGGGTTATGAAGATAATAAATAACAAGAAGCAGATCTTAAGAGGTCCCACTTCAAAATCATGGACAAAATTAATTGTATGATACATATTTGGGATAAAGTTAATAAAAAATAAAGAAACATCAGGTTCTAATTCATATAAATGTAGAAAATAATTACATTTAAGATTTCTAAAGAATATTTGTCTATCTATTATATTAAGTTTTTTTTATAATTAAACATTAATATTGACTAAATGATAAACAAATTGTTAAAAATATTACCTTATATAAATGAATCACTTTGGAAACTGCCGTTATGATATCATATTTGTTTAAACGTGGGTTATATTTTAAACATATTGGAACATGATCACAAACATAGCCTAGAGCTTTAAAGGGTAAAAATATTTTACTATTGGTCTTATTATCGTTTATCATCGGCAAAAATTTTGAAGCGAGGAAAACTTTTTAAAAAACTAAAATGAATGTGTGGAATTGGTGTATCTAATCTGAGAATGGAAACTGTGAATTGAAAGGTAAAATTTATTTATATTTTATAGTCTATCAAATATATTTTAAAAATATAAATAAAATGTTTTTATTATATAAATTAAATCTATTCAAATATAAATTATCTGAGTATTTTTATTTAGAAACTAAAATTTAAAATAAATTGCGCTATCTAACGGTAAATAATTTATGATTTAAAGTTTATAATTGTTGTTATATTTTCTATATAATATTAATCTGTTCTATTTATCAAAATTTATGGTTCTTAATTTTAGATACGACATATTCTAATTTTCAATGAGATATAGTATATCTATTAAACATAAGAATATCGTAAATAGTTATTTAATTAATCCAATTCGTTAAGCTTAAAACATAACACTGAAAAGATTAGCAGGGATCAAGGTAATAAATAATAAAGTTTTATTTAATGTATTTAAAAAATATTAAACTACAATTTTTAACTCTAATTTAACTAAAAATCTATATATAAATTTATCCTTTATATACGTTAATACATTATTTGGATTCAAACCAGTACACTGTTATGGAAGAATTATTCGCAGGAAAGTTGCAAATAGCTTCATTAAATATAAATGGATTAAATAATAAATTGGCGGTTCTATTAAGATTGTTGGAAGCGGAAGGAGTAGATTTAATAGGCATTCAGGAAACTCATTGCCCAGGAAACAGTATGGCAAACTTTAGTGTATATAAGATGTTTTGTTCGGGAACCACTTCAAATAGTTGGGCAGGAATCGCCTTTTTGACTAAGAAACGTTTACATAAACACATTATAAAATTTGTACCTGTGTCGGAGAGATGTGGACTTCTATATCTGAATACTAAGTTTAGACCCACTATTGTTGTGAATTTTTAAGCCCCACCTAATAGGAACATGAGGAAAATTTTTTTGGACGAAATGATGAATATATTAAACTCCCTCTCAAATAGATATAATGTAATAATCCTGGGTGATCTCAATATGAAAATAGGAAAAGATAGTGAATATATAAGTAGAGGAGTTATTGGGCAAGCTGCCATTCAACAATCTAATGATGTAGACAGCATAAAATTCCTAGATTACTGCAGCAACAAAAACTTTAAGGTAGAAAATACTTTTTTCTGCCATCGTGATATCAACAAATATACCTTTGTGAGGGGCAGACAGATATCTCAAATAGACTTCTTTATTTCCAATATTCATAGTTGGTTTGTAGATGTTAAAGCATCTACCAGGGTTAACATATCTGATCATAAGATGGTTATTGCAGTTATAAAAATAAAAAACATCTGGAGATATCACAATAATAGTATTCCTAACTTAATGGCCGTCAATGCTACCTCGTCCAATATAATTTTTCCACGTAAAGCAAATAAGTTTCTATTGTAAGGGAACAAAACTCTCTTTGAACAATCCCTTATTTCAAAAAAAGGAACCTTTATTAATGCTACCAGAAATGGAAACGTTGAAGTTTGCTGGGAACTTTTTAAGAAAGAACTAGCGGAATCTTATGAGAGACTGCCAAACGTAAATCTTGCATCTAGGAAAGAATGGATGTCTGATGAAACTCTTGAGAAGATATATCAACTAAGAATGACGAACAGCTCTAACATTGATTTATGGAAAGACATTAAAAGATTACTACGGAAAGATAGGAGAATTTTTATTGCTAAAAGGGCGGCTGACATTGACAAAGATATGAAAGAGAACAGGATCTACGATGCATATAGAAAATTAAAGTACTTCTGCAAATCCAGTTGCTTTGTGAAACTTCCTATGATTGTCTTAGCAAATGGGAAAACCATAACGGACCAAGATGAGCAAATGGCACTGTGGCTGGATCATTATATGTCGATTTTTGACTCCCGCAAGGCTACTCCTTTAACTACTGTGAATTCTCACACTATTATATCCCCGGCTGGTTTCTCTTCAAATGAAATTTCGAATATCGTAAAGAAACTACGGAACAATAGAGCTCCGGGTTTGGATAACATTACTGCTGAATATTTAAAAATATCCCCGAACCTAATCTCTTCTTTTCTCCTTGCTCTCTTTAACAAAATTTGGGAAAGTGGGAATACTCCGACAGAATGGAATAAATCTCTCCTGTGTAATTTCCCGAAAATTAAGGAACCTAAGAAATTTGCGAACTATCGGGCAGTAGCTCTGACCTCCTGCGTATCGAAAGTCTTTATGACACTCATCAAGAATAGGATCTTAACTTCTACACCCCTTCTTCTTTCTAAATATATCTGTGCATATAGGCCAAATAAAAACATTTTGGAACCTATTTTATCGCTGAAAATAATTATGCAAAAGTGCTGGAAATATAGGATTCCGTCTTATTACACTTTTATTGACTTTAGTAGGGCCTTTGATAATGTAGACCATAACGCCTTATTGGTAGCACTATCAGAGTGTGGTATCGAACAAAATATTATCTCCATCTTAAGGAATCATTATTCCAAATTAACTTCATGTTTTAAAACAAACGATAAAATATCACCCTTCTTCAAGATAAAAAAGGGAGTAAAACAAGGTTGTACTTTATCACCACTTCTCTTTAACATCATAATAAATAAAGTCATAAAGGAGGTAAATGCTGCTGCAGACTTGGCTGACTTTGGGTCTAATGAAAATTTTCACTTTGTTAATAAGATCGTTTCGTATGCCGACGATATTGTTGTAATATCAAAAAATATTGAAGAGACTGTATGTCTGATCTACCTTATCGAAACCATAAGCCTCAGAGTTGGTTTAAAAATTAATTTCAATAAAACGGTTATTCTTTCCTCGCCAAATACACCACCGCTCCAAAATCTTTTGGTAGGCGGGAACGTTATCAAAAAAGTAGATAATATCAAATACCTGGGTGTGATGCTCAATAACAAGGGGGAATGTAAAGAGGAAATGAAGATTAGAACGCAAAAAGCCAAAAGAGCGTTCTATATGTACATGAAAATCTGGAAGTCTAAGGAAATATCGGTTTTTACGAGGTTGAGGCTTTTCAACTCTACTATTATCCCCATTTTATTATATGGAAGTGACATATGGGAAGTAAACAAGACGGACTTAAGACGTATCCAATCCTTTATAAATAATTGTCTGAGAACTATAAATGGTATTTTTTATCCCAGAGTCATCTCTAACTCTAACCTCTGGAGGAAATCTAGCCACACTCCGATAAATATTACTTTAAAAAAACGTCGGATACAGTTCCTAGCCCATATAATAAGAAATTCAGATCACAACCTTGTACATGATGCTATCGTTTGGTTATATACACATAAAGGGAAACAGTATACTAAATATAAATCGTTATGGTATTACAAAGCTATAAAAGACGTGATGGAGCTGAATGTAAACATGAAACAATTTATAAAGCTTAATAATTGCAAAAGGTCTATCAGAAAACTCTTTCGCATCAAAGATAGATATTTTAGATGAAAATTAAATTTGTTCCTAGAGATCTCTAGTTCAAATACCTTTTTCTTACTTTTCTTCCTCGATTTCTCTTGTGGATTTATTCCTCTTGAAAGTATATTTCTTTTTTACCTCTAAAATAAATAAACTTACAATAAAGCTTTTTAAGTTAAATTTTCCACCTCCCACCTTTAAAGTAATTAATTTTAAAAGCAGTTCTTGGGTGTAGGCTATTTTTTGGTCCCTCTCTTTTCCTCTAAGCCTATAGACGTTTTAATAAAATTTCTTCAGAATTGTTGTGCGTACAAGTACGTGCGGCTTGCCCACAAACGTGTGGAGGGCTCCTCATATTTTTTCCCCCTTAAATTAATAAATTCCAATTAGATGGAAATGAGGAAAACCTAGCGTTGCTCTGTTGTATATTCAACGTTAGAGGGCGAATGCGCTATATATCACGTATCACGTATATAAAAAATCTAAAAATGGTGTTAATTAAATGAATGTAAGATACAAAAATTCTCGCTAAATAATAACCATTATAATAATAATAATCTATCACAATATAAATCAATTACAAATTCAATCATTTAAAGGAATCCATAAAATTCCTGCTTCAATAAACTTTATGATGTGAGAATAAAAATTTGAAAAGTTAAATATATAATATTTGCCCAACATACTCATAACAATTGAAATAACTTCCGTTTATTGGGTTTAAGAGAATTTGATCCATATTGATTTTTAGTTACTCCGAAAAATTTTCTATCGGATTTAATTGCGGCGAATAGGGTGGCAAAATATGATATTTGGATAATTCTCACTAATTATCCTTGTATGATGTAACCATTATCCATTATAAGTAATGAATTTGATGGTAAAAGTGCGATAACTTCCGTTTATTAGGTTTAGGAGAATTTGATCTATATTGATTTTTAATTACTCCGAAAAAATTTTCTATCGAATTTAATTGTGGCGAATAAGGTGGCAAAAATATGATATTTGGATATTCTCACTAATTATCTTAGTTCATAAGTAATGAATTAGTAATACCGTTTATTGGGTTTAGGAGAATTTGATCTATATTGATTTTTAATTACTCCGAAAAAATTTTCTATCGAATTTAATTGTGGCGAATAAGGTAGGAAAAATATGATATTTGGATAATTCTCACTAATTATTCTCGTTGATGTATTGGAGCATTATCCATTATTGAATTTGATGGTAAAAGTGCGAATAATTCATCCAGATATGCCTTGAATTTTATGGTAGTCAAAGCCCCATCTATTGGGAATTTTTTCATTCCACTTATTACTATTGTGCATAGGACTGATATATTTTTCCCCTTGGAGGGAGGTAACTTAACAGATAGACGTTTTTCCAAATGTGCCCACCCATACTGAGAAATAATATGGGTATTAAACCCTGTCTCATCCAGGAAGAATACATTTTCAAAAGTAATATTTATCATCTTGTCACAATATTTCTTTCGAATTTGAATTACATCTGGAGAGTTTCTCCTATCGGGTTCTTTTCC